AAAATCATTCCAGGCACGTTTAAGTATCATTAAAAATTCCTTTATTTTATATAATTTAAAGACTAGGTAGAAGCTCCCCCTTTTTACTAGTACTTATAAAGCTTCAGTGTATATAGGATAACATGTATATCTACACAAACTTCCCTGAAAAGGGAGAGATGACACTTACGGGAAATTGAAGGTAAATGAACCGCCACTGACTGACACCAAGCAATTTTAACGATCACAGATATAACTAGCCAAAAAGTGACATAAACTACCAGGTGTCATAATCATCATTTCAGCTGTGTATTCACAGGTGCTGCACGTGCTCACAGGAGAATTCACTAAAGTCAAAATTTACCTTTATTGCAACGGATGCCGCCCACTGTCATATCTTCTGACATCGCCACACGCCTAGAATGCCCTCAATCCCTGAACATCCCCCTCTGCGTACCACCCCAGTTGATTCCCGAAAACCATAAGACCCTTGTTCCTTATAATCATATACCATAATGATGGATGGTAGTTCAGTTAACCCAAAGGGAAGAGAAAAAAATTCTTGAATATTGTATAGAATAGCTTTGAAAAACAACTGGAACCCATATTTAGCCTGGGACGAAGGTTTACTTCATATATATATACAGTGTTGAAAATAATACATATGGTAATCAGGTAACGTTCTGAATGAAATTGCCACGACTTTTCTACTATCGTTCCAAAATCACTATTTTATGTTATTTTCTTAAATAATATATAAAAATATAAAATAAACAAAACGAAATTCAAGACGAAAAAAAAGAACAGTATATATATATATATATATATATATATATATATATATATATATATGTTACCGTTAAAGTATATAATGCAGTTATTTCATAGAATACATAGTTATTCCATGAAATAACTGATCGTGTCCGTTAAAGTGTGTAATATGTTATTAATTTGACACTTTAACTAGTTATTCTATGAAATAACTAGGTATTCTATAAATTAACTAATGAGAAACAGTTAAAACGTAAAATAAACAATTTATCTAAAATGAAATAACTAGGTATTCTATAAATAAACTAATGATAGACAATTAAAATGAAAAAGAAGCAATTTATCTAATTTATGCAGAGTATAAATGGTATTTATGGAAACGTACCATAAAATCATTAGTTAAAACAAGGATTACTTGGAATTACACTTGGAATTACAAAGAACATTATTTCTAAAACAAAAACATTTTTTGTTGACACACTGGATTTAACACGAACATTTTCTAAATCCCTGACCAGTCCCTAAACTATGAGCTCAAGCATATAGATTATTTTACACTTTAACGGGCTGCAGATCGTTATTCTATAAAATAACTAGTTAAAACATGAAATACAAGAGAGTTTTACACTTTAACAAACACGATCAGTTATTTCATGGAATAACTAGGTATTCTATAAAATAACGGATTTCTTACTTTAACGGTAACATATATAACAGTTTGGTGAATAAAACAAAAATATACGGTATATAAACCATTCATTTGGTAATTTTGTTCATATTATCAAACATTTGGTAAAAAATACAAGAGTGAAAAATAAATTTACCCGGATAGCTTTTATGACATGATCTATATCATGATAAAATTACTAAATTTTTACATATTTACCCAATTTAATCACATATTATATAATACCATATGTAAATTTTACCAAAGCGTTGCTGTAAAAATTAGTGAGCTTTTTGGAGTTTCATAGAGCTAGAAACACAGTAAATTTAACCATATTCTGTTTTTTATGACTATACTTTTTTCTTAAGAGTGTAAGTTAAATTTTAAAAGCACGTGCTTAAATAATATTAGACTTATCCTACACTTTTGCTTAGTATAAATTACATAAATTGTACTTGTTTTAAATGCAGTGACTGTTAAAACCTAATTGTATTTAATAAAAATGCCCCTCAATATGTAATGAATACTAAAGTGAAGGAATTATCATTTCAATAAACCATTATATATATTAGACTACGTATCATTTCATTTTAAATCGAGTAGTAATTATTTTCTTAATTTTATCCTGCGCACTTACCAACTCATAATACAAAGCTCTTTTTTTTTTTTTTTTTACATTTAAGCGCACAAATTAACAAGTAACAATTTAATGATGATTTAAATTTTTTGAATGTGAATAAAACTCATATGAAAATAAAATTATGCTGAAAGAATCTCAAATATTAGTTTCAAATATAATTACATAATTTTAAAGAAACGGTTTAAAACACAATTGAAAAAAATTACTCTTGTCAATTGTTTCAAATTCGTACAGTGCGAATTAATCACACTATTTATTTAAATTCTAAGAAAGAATTTTTGAGTGATCCAAATATTGATCATCTCGACATTGAAAATCAGAGATAGAAGTAAACATTTCATCACGTAAAAGATCTATAATATTATTTTAAATAACCTGAAAAATTTATATAACATACCTACAGAAAAACATATTCATCATTGTCAGAAATTTTTAATTACTGTAGTTCAATAAATTTAGAATACAATTGTTTCAAATTTGGCTTCAATTTCTTTCATATTAAAGACAATCAAAAAACAATTTAGGCACTTAATGAAATAAGTGTTTAAACGTTTACTAATTGTACTTTTTTTAATTATTATTAAAAAAATTTAAACACGAAATGCATTTAACTTACTATTAATTTGCTTGTGAATATACAAAAAGTATAACGCTAATTCAAATAGAAAAAAATAATAATTAATTGAACTTAGCAGATTAAATTAAATGGAATCGATCAAAAAAAAATCTTTTAAAATAAGAATTAAAAAATATGGGAGTTTTTTGATGCTTTAATGTTTAGAATTCGAGTTATTTTGCTCAAATTTCAGATTCTCCTCTTAAAAAATTATATAATTTAAAAAGATATAGAGAATTTCATTCTTTGCATTTAAAATGGTTTTTGTCAATAATAATTATCATTCTTAACTTTTTGAAAAGGTCCGTCGCTGCGAAAAATCTACTCCCAATTTGATGAATATGTGGTGATAAAGTCTTATTTTTGTTAAGAAAAAAAAAAAACTCAAAAATTATGTCTTACAGAATTTTAATTTATAGATTAGAAATCAAAAACGTTATTGACTCCGTTTTAGAAGAGGAAAATATTGCGAAAAGTCAGTTATCGCAATAAAATATTTTGTGAAGCGTCCGTTATGCACCTGCATTTCTCTTTAAGAGCTCTCTCTGATAAACAATTATTTTTCCCTTTTGCATCGAATTGTCAAACAAGTTTTATAAATATGTGATAAAGGTTGGATTCGATTAAATTTAGAAACATGACTTAATAAGAAGAAAAAAAAATTCCGATTTTAAACTGCTTTTTCTAACTATGCGTCTGGTCTCTTCCTCTCGAAAAAGAGGTCGCTTCTATAAGTGGTCGATTATTGCCACTAACAAGTTTTTCAATCATTCCTTTGAATAATTAATTATACATAATTACTGCATAATAAATAATAAAATTAATATTAAACATCTATTTATGCGTCAAAGCATCAGAAAGCCTAAGGCTGTAACAAAATAAGAAAAATTGCATTATGATTATTCATGCATCAACTAGTATATAACTTTTATATTTCCTTATCATCAGTATAATTCAAATGAACTCTAGCTAGAATAAAATGCGTTTTTTTTCTTCGATTTTCGAGTTTAATCAATGCTTCTGCTCTTTTAAATGACATAGTTATATTTTTTAGTAAATCAAGCTCTCTATAATTTAATCTTAAAACTAATTAGAATGAAATTACTGGAAAAATTATCGAAGAAATGATACTTTGGGTTAGTAAGTTATATTTCAAGTGGCATAGAATAAGTATTTTACTAAATATATGTAGTATGATTGTGCAGTTAATACATTAAACATATTGTCTTAATTAAAGGTTCTTGGACTGTATGTAACACCAATAGTAGAAAAGGGGAAATCGAGTATGTGGTTAAAATGATAAAAAGATAGTAATAATTCGAAGAGCGTTCGAAAATTATTTAACAGGAAGGAGAAAAAAAAAGAGCAAGGATGGCTGGAGCGCATCGGAATTGTGGGAAGCGAGTTCATGTAAAAAAAACTCTCTAAAGGGATCTGAATTGAGTAAGCGATAATAAATAAAATATATTTAATTGATTTACTAAATTGAATCAAAGTTAGTTTTATCTAGTTGATAATAACATAAGCGATCTCACAATATGTATTTAATTCATTACTTATATTATAATCATACTTTATTAAATTAAAATGTTATCCCACATTAATTTGAAAAACCCAAATAGAAACAATAATACAGAGGAGATATAAAGAATAACGTAGAGTAGACTATAAAATATAATATACAAGAAGCTATTTTTATATATTTAAGAATGTGTTATTAACAAAATGTGCGCGAATATGAAATAGTTCATGATAAAACTGCACCAAAATGAAAATTTAATTAATAAAACATTTGCCATAACTAGATTATCTCCTATGAATTTTATTAAAGAAACATCTTTTTTGAATAAAATAATGACAATATTGGTATTATTGGTAATATAATAATTATTGGTACCATTACACAACATAACTTTTATCGCTAATTTATATGAGTTTGCATTATCAATACTTGGTTACAGTTATAAAAATAAATAAATAAAAAATTTTAAAAAAATTCCAAAATTATTCTTTTCGAGGAAACGGATTCAGATATCCTCTGAAGATAAGATATCAAGGGATTATATTCGTCAATTACAATATTCTTAGAAAAGGTTGTTTTAATCATAAAATATTTTTGTGAAGTGTCTGCTTAAAGAAAGAAGAATAAAATTAAGATTTCGTAAATAGCGTAAAAAAATTTTGAGATGGATCGATAACATATCTGAATTTCACCTGGAAGCATATAGAAAGCATTCGCTATTACCTTAGACCAGGTAATAATGGAATGGAAACAAATTAATGTCTTAATTAATTAACATAAATTAAAATGTGCAAAATAAACTTACCTTCCAACCCAATCACAGGTGTCGGAATATTGCCCGCATACTCCTTTAGTTTTGTGAAGGATCAGAAAAATAGTAATAAAAAAAGACGAGAACACAGAGAATAACATTTCCTCAGTCTGACCTAAGAGCACATATTTCCAATATTAATTCTTCTCTCATTGCATCAAACAGGTTGAGCACCGCAAAAACTTTCCGAATCCGTTCGTTCTTTTCACAAAAATATAAACATAAATATCTTTTCTCTAAATAATCCGTTGACAACAGGTCACAAGGAACGGCGAATAAATTAATCAGCTTAGATTCCTATCAATCGAACACGTGCACTGATAGAATAATAATTTGCAAGAGAGGGGATAACATACGAGAAGCACAGAACCACTCAAGAAAAACTAAGCTTGCCTTACTACTATAACTCACTCTGTTGTAATACGGGAAATAGAGGGAAGAGGCAAAGCACACGAGTTCAAAGGTAAACAAATGTCTCAACCAATAAGAACGTCTCGTTTAGAAGAAAAACCGCCAAAATGATTTCATATGCTTTACTGCTGCCATCTAGTAGCTTTTAAGTAAAGAAATATCGCTTGTGTATCTTGAGGCTTTTGGTGTCTCCCTCTTTTGTTTTAAATAAGTAATACAAATGAGAAAATCGTTTGGATCAATCAAAAATGAGGAACACAATTCAAGATATGCATTACCAAATATTACAGCGTTGAAAACTAATTGCACAAATTTTATAAAATTATAATAAATTTTTTTGCACAGATTTAAGTGTAAGAATTTTAGTTTCTGATTCTACAATAATAAATTATGATTTAAAATATAAACTTTTTGACAAATTCATAAATAAGGGAGTGTTTAGGCTTTAAAGGCCCCGGACAACTGGGAAAAGTAAAATATACCTTCTGCATTCTCAAATTTCTGGTAAGTTGTAGAATTTGCTACGACTTTGTTCGAGAAATTGTGAAAAATAGTGAGTAATACAATCGAAACATGAATTAAAAGTAATAATACAAATAATATTACAATCGCAAATATAAAATATTATAAATTTATAAAGTTGCAACATTGTAAGCATATTAAAGTTCCAATAATATGCATTGTAAAAGTATAAAAACTTCACTATAAAATGCGCAATCATAATATTAAATACGCCATTTTAATGCTTTTTCCTGTAATTTTAGCGACCTTGATCTAAATCTAAATCTCCTAAGTATAATTATATTTACAGATTTCAGAATAATAGTTTCATAAAAGTTGTGTTAAAAAAAGCCTATATCTTATTAGAATTTGAACACTAAAAAAAAAAGTTAGACACCAAAATTTTATAATGTTTTTTCTTTTTTTTTAATTCCAAACAATAATATAAATTAATATAAATTTTATACTTATGAGCAAAAGTTTGTTTTATGCTCACTTTTCAGCTATCAATCACAAACAATTTCTTTTCATATCTACTTTCAACATAAATTTGATAACTCTTTGTCTTTTTTTAAAAGAGATATTGGAAAAAAAAAAACTTTCATTTAAAAAAAAATTGATAAATGACCTGTATATCATGTATCATGTTCTTTTAATTGCTTATAAATTTAACTTTAATGTAAGTCAAAATTTATTTCTTTTATTCAAAAATAATTTTCCTTAAAATTGAAATAAATTTTTAAAAATTTTATTCTCCACAATCTCTACGAATTGGTACGAGACGCTGTAAATTAATTTTAAGTAATTCAGTACGAAAATTGCCGATTTTTTCATTGAATTTGTCGCAAACAAAAAAAAAATTTATTCCTTATGTGCAAATTATTTGTGTTTATACTGAAATAATTTGGATGAAATTTATTGAAAAAATAAATGGAAAGACTTGGATCGATGATATAAGCCACATATCCAAGAGACCTTTTTTGAAGAAAAAAAAATAAAAAGCACATTTTTGTGTAAATAAAGATAATAAGATGTTTTGGTGCATTTTGCTGTTATCTGATTGAAATTCTGAAGCATTGGAAAGTAACTATTTAGAAACAATGTAAAGAAAAATATAGAGTTAAAAAAAAATAAGAAAAGTGTGATTTATCACGACATTCCCTTCGTTCCCTCCTTCACTCATTATAGATACAATGCAGATATATACAATATACAATACATACAGAACACATATATACAATACACAACATATACAGTACACATACATGGAATACACATACAATGACGGAACTCATCATCATGACTGGGTGTCAAACCATTTAAAATTCCATTACTGATAAGGCAATCTTAAAAAATTTCAGATTTCTCAAAAAAATAAAATAAAATGTAATATAAGAAATGTCTATTCATCTAGGAATTAAAGATCTGGTTTTTCTTTTAATGCGTTAAAGATTTAATTAATTTTAGAACTTGAACTAAATCCAAAAAAAAAGCGAAATTTTCATACCCATTTTTGAATGCTTCTAATTTTTATAAAAATGGGCATGTGCGAACCAACTGAATTGCACCACTTCTGTATTTATACATGTACAGTGCGCTGGAAAAAACTGGATAACTTTTTATTTAATGATCGGACTTAATGGTTTGGGGGCCTCTTAATGGTTTGAGCATAATTCTTCATGATAACAATCTGTTATTAAATTTTATTCTTTGCATGGAATTATTTTTGGATTTATTTATTAATATATTTAATAATATATTTAATAATTGGAGTTTTCTTAAGAGTTCATTTATAATGGGTGAAAAAATTTTTGAATCGTAAGATTCGAATTTTTTTTAAAGATTATTTTAAAGAATGTAATTTTAAATGGCAAAATACGAAATTTGAATAAAATCGGTCGAATAGTTCTCGAGAAATCAAACTTTAAATATATACCTCTTTTTTAAAACTAGGTAACTCAGCGATCCGGCCTACATTAGGTGCTTACATAATGTTTGAAAGACCTCTAGTTTGAGTTGAGTATAGAAAAGAGTATTTAGAGTATAGTTTCAATTTTACAGAAATAAAAATGTTTTTTTTTAAATCTTATTAAAATTTAAACATACACAGTATAACAGCCTGTAATTTCAGTATCACATCAGCTATTCGACTTTTTAAGATATTTAAAATTTCCTTTTATGTTCTTATCTCTAACTAAATGAATATTAATTGAATCAATAATCATCGAAATAAAATTTAAAAAAAAACATAAAACGATTTTGAAAAAAATATATCTATTTTATACATTTGTTACTGTAGCCGAAAAATCCATTTCTATGCGTATAGTTATTGTAGTCGCGGCCACACATGACACTACTTTTACTTGTAGTTCGTTACTTCTCAAATGCAACACTTTTAACTTGTAATTCGTAACTTTTTTCGGGAAGAAATACAAAAGTATTTGTAACGAAAATATCAACAACAAAAAAGTCGTTACTTTTTTCAGAAATTTTTCAAGGAAGTTTTTTTTCCCTCCAAAAAAACTTTTTTTTGTATCAATCTTATAAATTTATTGTATGATTTATAATTTTATTAACTAGCTTCCTTTTTATGTAACACCCTTGATGATTAGGAATTATACTACAAATTAAACGTGACTTTATTTCATTATGACTCATTATAATTAGTCGATTCACACGGATTTGAAAAAGATTGAAAAGCAAAAACAGCACATTAAGCGTAATTTATTTAAGAGCCGCAATTAATTTTTCTTCAATCGATGAAACGTTGGAATAATTTTTTTTTCCGATTAAAGATAATTACAAATTCCATGCAATTAGAAAAAAATGCCAGTTTAGTGATTACAAGAGAGTGGTCCAAAACCTTAAAAAATCAGTTACGGAATACCGGGCAATGGCCTATAACTTAAAAAAATAAATAAAAAGTAAAAAAAAAAAAAAAAAAAAANAAAAAAAAAAAAAAAAAAAAAATGAAAAAAAAAATAATAAATAAAATAAAAATAATAAATAAATAAATAAAATAAAATAAAATAAATAAAAAATAAATAAAATTAAATTTTAAAAAAAAGCATTAGTATATTGAATACGGGACAATTGTATATCATGTGACCGACGCTTTTAAAAAAAAAAAAGTTTTAAGAATACCAGTCAACGTCTTTTAACAACGAGGAAAAAAAAAACAACGGTGTAGGAAATACGATAAATTCCCTATCATTCTACAATTGAACAATCTATGTCGTAATGGCTCAGAGGATAGAGCTTTCACCTTCCAATGAGATGAACTGGGTTCTAATCCCAGCAATGGCTGATTGATACGAATTTCGCACCCGGCTAGCACTGATCGGCTGTTCAACAACGGTTATGAAATGCAAAAACAAAATTGAAAAATTCTCTCTTATAGGGAGGAAAACAGTTTAAAATTGAGCAACTAGTGTTGCTCGCTTTATGTTTGGTAATCTTGCCACCGGGTAAAGTTGCTACTGATCATTAATATTATGAACCAAAGATCTCATAACTAAGTAAATGAAATTTCCCCAGAATTCCTCGTTATTTCCATAAAGTTTCCTAATTTGATCCCTTTCTTTTCACAGATTCCCAGGATTTTTTTTTCATTCATCACGCTATTTATAGTTTGTTGACTAAAAATAATTCTCCGTTTTTCCCAAAAATGTAAAGTATACAGTTTATGCCTGATAATAAAATTCAATGCAATTTAAACTAGTTCTCAAATCTACGTTATCGCAAAATATAAATAACTTTTATTCGCTTTCTTTTTCACTCTCTCTCTGATATGAAACGTGAACCGCCTTGATCTGGAATGAAAAGTTCGATTCAGCTGCTTTGTTCGGACGTAAAACATTCAGATGGTGATGGAGTAATGATAAGCAAGAGAACCATACGAAGATACTTCTGAGTCAAAGGACAAATAAAGTATTTTGAATATTTTGATTTTTAACATTTTTCAAGCTTTCAATGGAGACTTTCCTTGTATACGCTAGTGTGGACCGAAATTCTTCTCAGACTTCGAGATGCGACGTAAGTCATCTTAATTAAATTTAATTTAAACAGAAGAATCCATTTGCCAAAAAAAATAGTTTTAGGTGCCAAAGTGGAAAGCTATTAATTTTTAACTCGTTTTAAACGAATAATTTCTGTACTGTAAATGTTTCATTACGACTGATTGACGGTATCGTAATAACAAGATTTAAAAATTGTAATTGTATATAAAAAATCTAAAAAGGAGAAGGGAAATTTTGATTTACTTCCGACAATGCGTGGCGTGGCGGTCGTCTCTCGGTGCAACACTCCTAGTGAGTCGTTCGCAGCCGAACATGGCACCGCCGCACCCGTCTCGGGCTTGTCCCTTCGGCCTCCTCTGTCCTTCGAACGACAGTGTTGCTCTTGTCGGGCGTGACTCGGGGCCATGGAACCACGTGTCCATGCACCACCGGGTCCTCCGACTGATCTGAGGGTTGCAGCCACGATAGTCTTCACGTATTTCCCGGATGTCCCGCTATGGGACGGGTCGGGGTTAAGCTCCGCTTACTTCCGACAATGAAAAATGTATTAAAATTGTACTAAACTAATTGTATTGACGATCGAAATAGCCTACGGGTGGCGTAGAGCAGAACTCTTTACGCCTGGCAACACTTCACATGCCTCCACCATTAGCGCGTGGAGAGTCATAGAAGAAGGAAGTACATTAGTTTCTGTCTTGATTTTCATATAGATTAAAATCTTAAGTTGGGTGGTTGTTGTTGTTGTAATTCATTTACGTCGCACTAGAGCTACACAATGGGCTATTGGCGACGGTCTGGGAAACATCTCTGAGGATGATCCGAAGACATGCCATCATTATTTTGATCCTCTGCAGAGGGGATGGCACCCCTGCTTCGGTAGCCCAACGACCTGAACGCGAAGTTGAGCACTTTACGGTAGAACAGTTTAACGAGGACCAATACCGCACACCCTCTGTCCTTGCGTAGAATGATCCAAGTGGTCACCCACCTGCACATTGACAGCATCCAGTGATGCTTGACTTCGGTGATCTGCTGGGAGCCATGTCGTAACGATCAGTCCACTGCGGGACTCTTTTAAGTTGGGAAACTGTAGGGAACTTAAAGCATAGTTCTAAAAGAAAGCTTCATGGAAATTCTATAAAATATTTTTATTAATTAAAAACGAAAAATATTAAGAAAAGGAAAAATATCGTAGTACATTCCTATACAACTGGAAAGAGGAGGAGATGAAAGGACTTCTCCCCAGATAGTGTATTCAATCGTTGTGATTGCGTATAGTTGGTAAAAATTTCCGGAAATTTCTATTTTTAAGCTAATTTCTCTATTTTGAAAACTAATTTTTTAAGAATATAATTATATTTCTTTGGAAGACAGTGGCTTTTTCACGATTATTGGGGCAATCGATGGGCAAGGGGCCAATCGCCCCTGACCCCACCCCAGCACTGCTGTTGCTTGTATTTGAGTTACAGGGAGAATAAAACCACTAAAACCTCGCACTGTTAGACTGTTGAAGGGTATTCTAACGTAATGTCTGTCTACCACTAGAGATATTTCACATTAGCCGTAGGAGTGGGAAAGTATACGAAACGATTAGCCATTACTGGCTTTGAGCCCGTGTCACCTTATCGGATGCGATTGCTCTATCCCCCCGGGGCCAACCAGTAAAGCCTCGCAATTAAGTTTGTTTCAGTTGGGATACTAATATGGTCAACGTCCCACAAGAGCTTAATTAATGAGCCATTAAACTGTTGATCTAGAGCAGTGTTTCCCAAACTTTATGACTTTTGAGAACCCTTTCTAAATTTTTCGTAACGCTGTGTACGACTAATAAAAAATGAATGTATTTCTCACTATAAAAATTTCCACAAAAGTTAAAAAACACAACTGGCTGTTTACACTACTAATTATTAACTATTAACTCTGCAAAAAATAGCCAATAGAAAATTACATAATCGTAAATTTCCATGGCTAGCTTTGTTTTTAAATGAAATGTTTTGAGACTTTCGTTGTTGCAAGATATTTCGCATAAGAATGCGTACCCCCGTTAAACTGCCCCTGTACCCCTGGAGGTACGCGTACCACAATTTGGGAAACACTGATCTAGAGATCTATTAACCTGATCTAACGCAATTTAGCCTATTGTAAGATGACAATAGGCTATTGTAAGATGACAATAGGCTGTCACAAAAAATCAACGCACGCATTTAATTGAAATAGGATGAATTTCAAGAAATGCATTCCCACTGCATACGTTTTTTTGGCATGCGAAAAAAATTGCAAATGACCAAACTAATCATTACCACCTTGATGTTAGTAACCTCTAGTTCACGCTTGAGAACACGCTTGTTCAGCTATTTTTTCGAGTGACTGTAACTCGCTCGCAGTTCCGAAATATTAAAATGAACCTGCGGAGAAAGAAATTCGTTCAGTTTGGATAAGCGTAATTTGAGAAGTGAAATACGAAACTAAGCAGTCAGCAGTTTCCGCTTCAAGCCGGTTTTCTACTTTCTGTTTTCATTTAGCGGCTCTTGTTGATGTGAAACTATTGTCGTCAATCAGCGATATTTTTGTTCCTATTTATACAGCAGCAGTGTCCTGTCTTTTGTTTGTAATTATTTTGGTTTTTGTATAGGAAGTTATTTCTACTACGTTCTAAATTTTAAGAGATCCGTTCTCAAGTATCAGAGTATTTTTGAATTGAACTTTGATCAGTGCGAGATAATATTTGTTTTGAAAAAAAGGGAAATTTTCCAGTCACTATCATAAGGTCTTGACTCATAGCAAACATGAAAGTTTTTGTTCTCTTTGCTGTGGTATTATTTTGTGGGGCTTCTTCAGGTAATTTATTGTTTATTAAAATTCTAAATTTTTAATTTTATTAATAATTATATTGACGTTAATTTAAAATTTATTTTGCATGTTGCTTGAACATGTTTTAAATTGTAGATACGTATTCAAATCGTTATCATGTATAGCCTTGATTTTTAATTATGTGAAAGCGTATTATTCCTTTGTAATAATTTATTTTGTGATGGCCAATTAGGTATTTATAATTTAAAGTTCGAAGTGTTAATCTACATTGTTTAATTTTAAAATTCCCTTTGGGTTTTGCATGTCTTTAGGAATTAAATATTCTAATCAGAACTTATAAGTTATGAATTTTAGTAATACAAATGATCCTTATATTGCTATTTCAAGGCCACGTGTTGTCACCTTCTTAAATTTCAATTAAAACACCCGTTTTTGAAAATTGAGATATTCTGTTTACATGATCTTTAGTCTTTAGTTGGGCTAGCATTAAATTATTTCTACTCTTTTAAGTTTATTTTTTGGTACATTTTCAGATAATTTTTCATTTAAAGTATCCTAATATTGAGTTCCAGACTGAAATCTAGCACTGCTTTAAGTCTGAGATATTTATTATAGCAACTAATTACCATTGAAATTAATTATTGTGTAAATTGTTATTTTACATGATTCAGTTCCATGATTCAGAAATGAAAATGCTCCTTTACAATTGAAGAAAACTTTACATCTTATGCATTAATTATGAAAATTCTATGACCAATTGGTTTTAGCCAAGAATGTAAAAAATATGTGAAAATTTTCAAGGAACATTTTTTAAAATATTTATATAATCATAAAATTGTTGGAATTTGATCAAAGTAATTCACAAATATGTTCAAATTTTGGAGAATTCTATTTATACTTTAACATATTTTACTACAAAACATAGATATTTCTTAACTAAAATAGTATCATTTCTTAAATTAAAATGGAATTCTTTCCAAAACTCTGTTAACTTAAAATCATCTGGTTAACATAGCTGTAGAATAAAACAATTATTTTTAGAGAGAGTGGCATAAGGTATATTTATTTATCTGTTTTTTTATTTAATAATTTATTCTAATTTTAGGTGATGTACTATACTTTTGCTTTTATGCATAATTTAGAATATAACTATAATTTTTTTTCTTTTCATTATTTTAATTGTTTGTGTTTGAATGGGGGATATTTTTCATTCTCTAGGTTAAAAAAGTAAATAACTTATTCTGAAGTAAATATTGCTTATTTAGCTCTTTAAATAATTGAAAATCGTTACTAAATATATTTATCATAATATTGTGATTATATTATTACATGTGATTATTTTATAATGAAAGATGTGATTATTTTATAATGATAACACTTTCAGTGTTAAGCCTTAATTTTGAATGATAATCAAAATTTTAAAAATAGCAAATAATATTAAAAAAAGGATAGTAAATAAGTATCACTGGTAAATATCATTAAATATGAATTAAATAAATTAGTTACAAAGTGAATACGATTATAAGTTTTTTTCAATTTTTTACCAATCAAAACTAAAGATGTCTGTATTTGTTATGTTTATTAATGGTTATACCGTAGGGAACCGATTATCCGGAACGATCGGGACCATCGCTATTCCGGAGAACTGATTTTTTCGGTTTTCTGAATCGCTACAAAAAGCCGTTTTTTTATTGTTAAACTCAACTAAAAATATATATATATTGGGAAATAATCTTAAAAGAAGAAAAAACGATGAAGTAAAACACTAATGATTATTTCCAAAATGATGGTAAGGTAAACATCTTTCAAAAAAGAAAGAAAGATCCTAAAATCTTATGAGGAAAAAAGCATTTTTTTAAAAAAATGGCGGGAAAATTTATCGAATTTCGTTCCGGTTTTTTGGTTTTCTGATTTCCGGATAACGGGTTCTGTACTGTATCATGATTTTTCTGTTCAACGAAAATACACTGGCAACAATTCGAAATAAAAAAATGGTTGGTTTCATATGCCTGTTTAGGCAGAGAGGTGCAATTGTTCTTGTTTTCCAATGGCGCCATCTATGGCCAAGAATTCGACTTCTGCCACCCCCATTCGCCGCACCCTTTTATAGAACGGACCCATTCATACATCCTTTCATTCATCCACAGATCGTAATTTTGACCTGAATCAGAAAACGATCGATCTCCAATTCAGTACCCCCCAGAGGTCTTGATTTGTTATGGGAACATGGAGGACTTTGCGACTCGACAGATTTAACATGCATCAGTCACCATTTTACTACACGGGGAGTCTTCGGCCAGCGGGGTTAGAACCCATGAACTCTGAAACATGGGACCAGCGCCCTACCTACCAGGCTATCCCCGCCGCATAAAAAACAGTTATAATTATTTATTTTTTTAATAAAATCAAATGAAAATTATTTATTGCTAATGGTTTTGAGTGTTATCTTTCATATTGATTAATACCAGAAATATACTTAGTTTTCTTCTTATACCTCTTCACTCCATAGGGAGCTTAGGATCTTTGTTGAGACTCCCTATCTCTCCCTGTCTGTGGCCAAGTGTTTTATTTCTCTTTATGTTTTGCAGTCTAGCATCTTGGAGTTTTTTCGATTTTCTGATAGCGTGTCCAATAATCGCTATTTGCTTTCTCTGATTTCTAATTCTATTGATTTTTATTTACTGATTTTGAATAATTCATTGTTAGATATTTTAAGAAATCATTTTATATTAAAAATTCTTCTGATACATTTATTGATAAAAGCCTGTTACTTATTTATATTTGTTTTTAAGTTGTACCAGGTTTCTGATCCATTTAAAAATACTGATTTAACATTTCGGTTGAATATTCTTATTTTTGTTTCATTTGATAAAGTCTCGCATGGCCAAAATTTATTGAAAATAACAAAAGCATTGTGCTTTATTCTACCTGTTGGCAATATCTTAATTTATATGGTAGTTTTAATTATAATTTTATTTATTTACTAAGATTGATTTCATTGCTGTAGCAGCTCCTGCTGATAGGAAAGAAGCCTGGGGCTATGTTGATGTCAGGAAGGATGCTCACATGTTTTGGTGGCTCTATTATACTGACCAGACTACTAACTATGCAAGTTATCCTCTTGTGATATGGCTGCAGGTACATTTTAATTATTTATCATAAATGTGCATTTTGATTGTGAATAAGTATATTTTATGTTTGGAATAGTGTATGTTTACGACGATTTACTGTAAATTTACTGAGTGGACTGTAAATTTACCGATTGATTTTAATAAAGGATAATACACCATAGAATGTCCTCAACAAACGAAAGAACGATGTTTTTTGTATCCAAATTTTTTATTATAGAATGCTCACTATAGCGCATCCTCAATGAGCAAAGTAATAAACACAAACATTAAGAAGCGCTTGTCAAATTGGCAAGTTGCCTTTACATGGCGACACAACACATTTAAATACATGACATTTAACAGTGTACAATGCCATTGAACAATTTAATTTTCAATTAAAAATAGAAGTGAAAAAAAAAACATTTAAAAGGAATGATTTTGTGGGAATTAAAGTAAAGTTATTTTATTGTTGAATAAAACAACTATTTACCTGTATCAGTATGAAATATAATACAATTTTTTTTAAATAAGATTCATAATAATTGATTGAAATTTCATTATAATTTATTTTTTTTGAATTATTAAAAATTGTCAAAACAAATAATACTTATTTCTTCCTCGCAGCTGGAACTAGGAACAAGTAAGATGAGTTTTGCTAGTTTTTCGATGTTGTTGAAGAAGCATCTAACTTCAGGTGTCACTGAGCATAAGGTTTTAACTAATTCCTTTACAGAATTCGGTTGCAATATTTAAAAAAAAAATTTTTTTATCTTTTCTTTTGAATCACATGCATTAAGCATAAGCTGGATAATCGTATAGGAATTTCAGACTTTCTTCTTTCAGCGGTAAGCGATTTTCTGTTTCTACAACTTTCCATTTAGATAAAATCAGAAATTTTGTCTTTAAACTGCAGAATCAGTACATCGCAAAATATTGTTTTTGTAGTTTTCTGCTACATTTTCTGTAACATGATTTTGAGTAGTTTCCAGAAAGAACTTTAATGTCTTTTTTTCTTCTTTGTTTTCTGAGATCTTCTATAGGAGCATAATCAAATTTTTTGCTGTATTCTTTTGTTTCAAGCAAATTTTCTTTAATTTTTTTTTTTCAGTTCAAAACATATCAATACTGTCTTTTAATATATATTACAGTATTCATCATTCCCACTTTTGTCATTTTCCTACTCTGTAAAATCTGTACAACTTTTTGAAAATGATCCTAGATATTGACAGAACAGTTTTGCTGATTCAATTTTACAAATAGCTATAAACGAAATAATTTTTTTGCTGAAAATTGTCTCACTTTTTCCAATTGGTCTAGCAAGCCACTACCATGAATAGTTTTACCCAACTTCTCTAGTGTTGTAAGAATTTCCACATAATACTTTAAAATTGAAAAAATTTAGAAAAATCTGCAAATTCAGTGATTTGAACATAAAGGCCTATTGCTAGTATGTCTTGAGCTAGCTGCTTCTTTGAACGCGCATCGAAATTCGCCCTGTACATTTAATGATTGACGTAATAAAATGCCGAAATCATGGGCGCAAGACAGCGAATTTTGAACAGTTGTTGCTTTACTTGTATTTGGCATGACAAGGTTAAAAAATCAAAATTATTAAAAATTATCAGTTATTTACAAAAATTACTATCTTGAATTCAGGAAAGTTTTTCAATTATTCTATGAAATTTTTACACTTTGCTTCTGTGTTTAAAAATATTAATGTTTCAAAAGCATTATTTATACTAAACAAATTTTACAGCTATTTTACTTTAAATATAAAATACTAATTTAACTGGAGAAATTTTGATAATTTTTTAAATAAAATTTATGAAATTATAATTAAAAAAGGGTTAACGACCTTTGCAAGATTATATGAGCTGATTGTTCTGAAACAGAAGTCAAATTTCTAAATTCGTATGATTTTGAACAACTTCCTAAGTTCTAACTCGTGATATTTATGTATATGCATTTTTTTTTAAAAGTAAGAAAGTGCAAATCTTTTTTGCCCTCTCTTTAAAAAACCTCTTCCTAACAAAGAAGGAATACAAGCAACCTTACAAAAGAAGGAATGAGTGAAAGAACTTAAAGCAATAGATTTTTCTGTTGTTGCCCCTGATCACTACTGTCGTGACTCTCTTTATCATAGACAGCTTTAATTACAGAAAATGCTTTTAAGTTAGGAGTCCCATTCAAGCATTGTTTTTGTAACTCCTTTAGTATGTTTTAAGAAAACTTTCTTACTTGGCATGTTTTTATTAGCAATATTTTTAAAAAATCTTTAAAGTGTTGTAAATTGTTGAAGGAGATTTTTCCCCTTCTCCAAAAGTTGAGGATGACTAGACGCGCATATTTATATTAAAGGTTGTAAAATAGTTTAGCAAAGATGTCTGACAAATAATATAAATGACATTATTTCGTGAATTAACTTCAATAAAATATTTTAAAATGTTATTTACAACAAATGTTTTTTAAATTTTTCTATATTTCCTTTATAGGTGTTCAAATTTTTACTAATTTTTTTAGTTTTTACCTTTAGTAAATATTATGTTCTTTTGCATTCTTAATAGGGTGGTCCAGGAGCATCATCTACTGGCTATGGTAACTTTTTAGAGATAGGACCCTTAGATGAGCACTTGAGACCAAGGAATTCTACTTGGGTATATTTTCCCCTTTTTTCGATAATTATAAATCAGTGCATTTCAGTAAGTTTGTATCTTTCAAACACCATCACTATTGCAATCATAGTGCATGCCAATCATTCAATCCATTCATTTTTATTTTTTCTCACCATCACTTTTTAAAGATGTTATTACATAAATAAAAAAATTATTCTTTAGTTCTAGATTGCTAAGAATAGAGGTTGCTTAAAAAGCATGAAAGGTTTTGAAACTAATAGTTTTACATTTTAGTGGTGTGTAACATTTTTTAAATAAGTGGTTACAGACAGAACATGGAGCAAATTAGAATTGGTAAAGCTTGTTTACTATGCTTTGTGTTTTTATCTATAAAAATAAAAGAAAGAGTTTGTGTGTCTTTTTATATTTCTAGAACTGCTTATGCTAGAATTCTAAAATTTGTTTTTAGGGGACATTTTAGTCTCCAATCCTAAAAAATCTTTTAAAAATTTAATTAGATTATTCAAAAAGGCGATATATATTGCTAAACCCAGAAGAAAAATGAATTTTTCTCCTGGATTTAGTGATATATATTGCTAAAGATAAAACTGCAGACAGTTCTTTTTATTATTTTTATTTTCATTATTTAAAAGATAACATCAGTGATGCTTGCTTGTGGTTTTATTTAGACAAAAAAAAAATGAGAAACAACTTACATTTTAAGGATACATAGCTTCTAGTAAAATTTTAAAACCTATTTCTATAAGTCTAAATTATGTAAAATCAAGGATATTTGAAATTTTAAAAAATTATGGTGTGTGCTAAAGTGTAAAATTATTGGAGAATATTGCTCGCTTATAAAATTAAAAACTATAAATAATTTTTTATGCAATAATTTATTTTTTAGCTCAGCAAAGCAAACTTGTTGTTTATTGACAATCCTGTTGGTACTGGCTTCAGTTATGTAACCAATAAGTCTGCACTGGCTACAACTAACAAGCAAATAGCTGATGATCTTGTCACTTGTTTAACTTCAATATTAGATACTGTTCCAGAATTCCAAGTAACTAATTAATTAATTTTTATTATTTTCTAATGTTTATCTGTTTAAAATTATACTAATTCTTAAACAAAGCATCACAATCACAATTTAATGCTTTTTTAAAATTGTTGTAAAGTTTAATTAAATGTATTTGAAAAAGTTGGTTTTTAAGATTAAAAAAGTATATCAGTGACATTATAATTAGTTAAGTGAAATATATTCAAAATCATTGAAATCATTGAATATATTCAAAATCACGCTTGCAAATTTCATAGAAAAGCTGAAATTTTTTTTAGTTTTTTTAAAGAATCTTTCAAATTTTATTGTGTTAAATTTAATCAGAAATTGTACTCTGACACATTATTGATGCAGGATGTAATAGTTTCAATATTATATTTAAAAAATTATTGGTACTGGAGTGTGAACTGATAGCGTGCTTTTATTAATCAGCAGTTTGATTTAAATGTAGCAAGATTAAGAAAATTCGATATTATCTTATCTTCTTATAATTAATGCATTCGATACTTAACAGGTATATTTTTTTATTTTAATTTCTAAACCTTTTTTTTTTTCATTGGTAGAAATCTCCATTGTATATATTTAGTGAATCCTATGGAGGAAAAATGACTGTGGATTTCGCTCTTGCTCTGTCCAAGGTAAATGTTTTGAAAATTAATTTTATTTATTTATTTTTTTTCATTTCGGTGTACTTCTCATGGCTTTGTTTTTAAAATAATATTCTAACCTTAAGTCTCACAGTAGAAATCATAATAAACAACAAATTAAAAAAAAATTTTAGTGGTAAGTAGTATTTAATAGTTAACGATCTTTATAAAAATTTTAAACATGCTTAACTAAAGTAGATTGTCTACTTAGAATGTTCTAACAATTAAGAAGAAAATGAATTTTTTTCCCTTATAGCTCAGCTAGTAAGATAATCTTTTAAATATCTTTCAGCATCAATTTTGTTTTATTATTTGAAATGAAAAATGAAATTTTGACAGAAGAACTTTATAATCAATCTATTCAAAGAATCCTATAATTCTTGATAAATTAATTTCCAATTAAAATAAGAGTTGTATTCTTTTTCTGCATTGTTTAAAAACTATAAAGAAAAGGCTGTTTTTTTGTTTATATTATACTTATTAATATTTCTTTTTAAAAAAAATTTTTTTTTCACTGCGTGTTATAATAATGGAAATGTATGACCAACTACTTAAATGTTTTTTCCTATATTGTTTTTCTTTTAAACGATATAATTTTTGCTTATCATAGCAATAATAAAAAGTGGAATTTAAAAAAAATTGGACTGATGGTCGGAAAATATTTCTACTATTGATAACTTTGACAAAAAACATTTGATTGAGTTAACTCTTGTTATTCTTGAATTCAGCTTGCTTGCTAATTAAGAAAAAAAAATTTGGTTAGAGGCGCTAATATCACAGGAAAACTTTTTTTATTAAATTCAGTATTCATTTATTATGTTTATTTTTGTCTATTTAACAAATTTACAGCAATGAACACAATTTCCATAACATACTTCATAGTGCTGAAAGCTGTTAAGCTTACTTTGATCTCTTAAAACAAATTTTCCCCTAAAGACTCAGTGTGAAAAACTTGACAAATGTAAAAAGGTGACAGTTTTTAGTATTATTGTATTTTACTTTTTATAAAGTTTTGTTTCACTACAAGTTTCTTGTGAGGATAGCTGATTGAACACAAATTTTAAAAAAGCCAAATAAAACTCAAGTATAAATGTTTATTTATCAAACTACTTTATAAATTTTTTTTAGCAATCTAATTACTGTATGAACTTTGTGTACTAGAAAAATTTTATTTATTGATCTGTGTTTTTAAAGGATAACTCTGGAATTCAATGTTATCAAATTTCATAGTATCAAAATAATACTTAGTAATAAACAAAATTCATTATGTTGATATTACAAATTTTAACCATCACCATCCATGGAATGTTTTTTTTTTCAAAGAAAAAGTGGTGTTACTAATACCTTAAAAAATCATAAAGTTATATTAATAAATGTAAAACTATTGTTATAAAATAAGCATTGAACTTATTGTAATGCTAATGCCTAATCAGTTGCATACATATAATCTATATGTTAAAATTGAAAGAAAAAAAAAAGTTGTTTTCATTTTTTCTGAAGCATCATTTAATTCTGTATATTGTATAAAGTTTCAGACAAATTATATTCAGTTGGTAAAAAAGTTAATGTTTTATGATATATTTGTGCTTTTTTTATTAAATCTATATTAAATTCATTTATGAGATCTTTAATTTTTATACAGCATTATATAGAAATGTATTGTTTTGTGCTAGTTAAATTACTCAGAAGAACAATTTTTTCTTTTTTTCTTCTGTTACATGAGAGTTTTTAAGAGATCTTGGATATATCCACGTCACTGATTTCAAATGTGCAATCCGTTTCTTTGTCCAAATTACAGATTTTTTTTTTTTTAATGACATTTTTATTTTTGTTCTTTTTTTTTGTCAAGATGTACAAGTTAAGAAGCTAGGACTGCTTCCTTATTATAACTTTATCCGTAAATAAGTAACGTCATTTCTGGGTATAGGTTCCCATGCAATATTAATCCTTATGATGTGCCTTAACTTTCCTCGAAGTTTGTTGCAACTTTTATGCCAATCCTGTTATACATCGCTTTCTTAAACTTGTGCATTTTGACAAAAAAATGATCTAAAAATGACATTTAATAAATTTTAAAAAAAATCTGTAGCTTTAGGACCAAAACTAATATCAAATTTGAAATCCTCACACCCGAATTTGACAAAATCAAGTATCTGTATAAATGCAACAAAAAATTTGTTCCCCTGTGTAATGTATTAAGTGCCAGGCAAATTTTTAGTATTCAGTTTATTAATAAAAATATAATGTTTAAGGAAACGTTTAAACTTTTTTTAGATCTATATTAAGTTTATTTATAAAGTCTTCAATTTATGTACAGCATTAATAGAAATTTATTGTTTTGTGCTTGTTAAGTTATTATATTAGATGCACATTTTATTAAATTATTTCAGGCAATTAAGAGTAAAACCATCAATGTCAACTTTAAGGGAATTGCACTTGGTGATTCTTGGATATCACCCATCGATTCAGTTTATACCTGGGGTCCATATTTGTATGCTACAGTAAGTAACTGTAATTATTTATTAATTTTGTGTGCAGCAAAGTTTAGATGCAAGTTTTTTTTCCATATCACATTGTAGTATTTATTGTTTTTCTATGAATGATCATGAATATTTTATGATTAAAATTGTTAGCAATACAAATTTCTAACTTTGTTTGAAGTTTTTTGAGTACCTTTAAACAAAGTAATAATTCCTAAACCTTAAGGTTTCACATTGAAGTAAATTTTATTTTATAGAGTACTGTTAATTATATGAAATGTCAAGTTGCTTGCTCTTTTTTCGCTTTTTTCTATAATTTTAATTTTTTGAAAAGTAACTAAATTTCTTCAAAGAGTAATAATAAAATACATGTGAACTTTTTTAATGCATTGAATGTCGCCTTTTTTTAAATGAAATTTCATAACGAAATCACATTTTCACCGTGTTAAAATAAAAATTATAAAAAATTACCAAATACTATTACTGGAAAAGAACTGTTATAATTTAAAAATGGACAAAAATTATTAAACTGTTTCATTTATTTATTTTAAATTTTTAAAAAATGTAAATTTCTACTTTCCAAGAAAAGACTGTGACATAACTTAAGTTATTGATTTGATATGTATCTAAACTTCAATTTGTTTATCTTAAAAATAAAATTATTTCATTATTATTTAATGTTGACAGTTTTTCTGTGCACCATTTTTGTAATGCTCAGACTTAAGAGTTACCGTATTTTTTGGCGGAAGAGCCGCGGCGCTATCGAAAAAAAAGTTGTTTTTTTCCTACATGCGGCGCTTCCGATGCAGTGGCGCTTCCGACGAAATATTTTTTTGTAGCAAAAAAATTTGTCAAGGAAAGTTATTTAAGATGAAATAATTTTCTGAGAGAAAGACTATTAAAAAACGAAGTCGACGAAATATTCACCCGTATTGCGATCTGCTGCAGAACATCGCCAATTCTTAGCAAACTTTCGGCAGCAGCCTGTAAGAAAATAAATAAACGAAATAATAATTTTAAAAAAACATCGCATAAGGAGAAAATTTAAAAGGTATGCATCTTGTATCCACCCCCAGCTTAAGGAAAAATCGCAATCTAGAAATGTATTTAGCGCCTTGGCAATAGTAATTTAAGCGAACAGAAAAGGAAGAATAGGACCCTAAACCCGACACTCGCGGGACTGGCGAAATGCCGAACTTCGGATCTCTTTCGCAAAATTCCAATATGGCCCCCAAATATTACTATAATTCAATTCCACTGTTAATTTCAGAAAAACCAATAAATTTAGTCAAGTTTCGATCGTAGATTATGATGGGGTGGGGTGAATTTAAAACTGGCCCATCTTAAGAGAAATTTTACTAATCAAAATAATAATCTATGTAATATAATCAAGAAGAAATAATCAGAATCCTATGAAGAAGAAATAATCGTTTCTTCTTTGGAGCGAGATCATAGTTCTCGTTTTTTCTTTTAGATAACATTTTGTTTTAACAAAAGACGCTTACCTCGCAAGAAGAAAAAAAAAGCTAACAGGGAACTACAAAAAAAATTTTGAACAATGAATAACAACAAAAAACAAGCTAAAAACTAATAGCGATAAAAAAAAAACAAGCAAGCAACAATTAACAAGAAAAAATAAAAAGCAGCAAAATAAAAAAAAAATTTATGAATCGAATAAAAAACCGCAAAAGGGATAGAATTCATTTTGTTGTCCACGTGGTAGTTTCAATGTCAACTGGGTGTGGCCAATTTATGGTCAAACAGAAGAGGGAAATTTGGGGGTAAAGCACAGCTGTCAAGATTGATTGATCAGTTTTTTCCAACTTTCATTTCTTTATTTTGTTCATTGGAAATGCAAGTGTTTTTACTTCTCACTTTATTTTAAACTGCTTAAGAAACAGATGTTTCTTTTGACACAGATTTATTTTTTTTTTTCAAGCTTCTTTTTTTATTTTTAAAAGATAAAAGAAAGTACCTAAGTTACTTCAACAGAATAAAATTCCAAATAAAAAGAATATAGCTTATTTTTTTTGTCTTATCAATATAAATTTCTTAAAAAAAAAAAAAAAAAAGATTAGATCAGATTAAGTGCCAAATTTTGGAATGCTGGATTAGGGGACCCATACCGTTTTCTTTTCACCAACCCCTTTTAAATATTGAGTCACATTGAGTTATTTCCATGGAAGGAGAGGGCATTCTACTCACTAAAATTCCACCCTCAAAGATTGTGAAAGTGAAACTTATTTCCCGTTCGCTCATTTCTTCAGAATTTTTTTGGGGCCTGCTTAGTTATTTCTTATTCTTGTTATTATTAGTTATTTCGTTATTATTAGCTGTTTCGTTATTATGTATTAGTTTTTCCTCAAATTGTTAACGGTGATAAATTTTAAAATCTTTTTATTTTAAAATCTTTCTTTTAATAAATTTTTATTTTATTTTTCTTATTGCATTGTTTTACGGATTCCTGCAATCAGTTCAGCCTTAATTCAGCTACTGAACATATAAATATTCTTTTTGCTGTTCTTGTTTTTTGGCGCGGTGCCAACTAGTAAGAACAACTTTATTTTATATAGTTTTGTTGTTTTCTTTTTTTTTTGCTGAAAGAGAAAACTTTTTTGTTGCTTTTTTTTTTGCTGAAAAAGAAATTTTTTATTATAATTTAGAAATTAAAACTTTATTTTATGAAATGCATAAAAAAATTTAATTTTTTATTATACAGATATTCTAAATGGTCATTTAAAGGTCTCTTCTGAAAGGATGCTGATATACGCGGTTCAGCGCCATTGCGGCAAAAATTCATTTTTATCCAGGTGCGGCGCTTGTGACGAAGCGGCGCTTTCGCCGAAAAATACGGTACACTTTCAATAAAGACAAACATTTTCAATCTCCTTTCTTCTAAAAAAGCTGTTAAACTTTTATAAACTAAGTACTATGGGGTTTAAAAATTTATGCTCTCTATAGTACTAGAGGATACATCTGAGTCTGGATGCAATTAAGGACACATTATATATATAAAAGAATGATCCTACATATTTTTCTTCACAATGTTGTCTGCCTATTCTACTTGCTGTTCACCAAAATGTTTGATCTACTCTACTGAATTTTCACTTCTGTTATTCAAAAAATATGCTTTGCATTCATATTTGATTTATGTTTAGAAAATCAAGCATGTATGATTTTAATAATCTTGTAATTAAAGTTTATATAATTTTATTTAAGTTGAGGTTGAATAACAGCAGATAATCAGAGTTACAGAAGTTTAATTAATCACCAGTTTTTTAGTTATCAATTTTGTTACGTTTTTATTAATTATCATTATAACTTACTGTCATTTGCTGTACACTATTATAGGGCTGACATGTATTCAGATTTTGCAAAACATTTCAAGCATGGTTATACTATTAATATTTAATGCATATTTTTTTTTACTAAAAAATAGGTAGGCTTATATGATAGTTACTATTTGTCTTTATTAACCTATTATAAAATCTTTTTCAGTCTCTTTTGGATAAAGTTGGACTTCAGTCAATTAAAGCACATGCATATGAAGTTAAACAGGCTTTAGCCGCTGGTCAGTTCAAAAAAGCAACTGATGGATTTTCTCAGATCCAAGAATTGATTGGCAATGTTAGTATAATTATATTAGATTTTAAAGTATATACCATTTTATTGTTTGAGTTATGATATATTCTCATATAATTTAATGTAAAATTCATTTTACAATGAATTTTATAAAAAGATATCATTTATCGTTGTAGTGATTGATAATCAAGTTTTTCTACTTACTTAGGCACATGACTCAGTTTGTGCTTAGGCATAGTTATAAAAGGTAATTTAGTACTTATATTTTTAAATATATAAAGTATCTGATACACAGTAGATGCAGAGAATGAGGAGTTGGTTAATAAAGTTTATGCCCATCCTGAATATTTCCGATTATTTAAAATTGTACCTGTATATATATACATATACATACATAAATACAGTGATAAATTCCCATTTTCGGAATTGTCTGAACTTTGGCAAGTGCAGAAAATAGTTATTTCCGAATAATAGGTCTTTAAGGTAAAGAAATCCTAATTCAATTAAAAATAATCAATAGATAATTGTTAACATCAATTTCTATCAACAATCAATAAATCCACATGGTTTGCAATATTTTCGCATCCTTTGTTACAGATTTCCACAAGGTTTTTTAAAATCTCCATATTTAAATATGCCCCTTTAACATACTGCGAATTCCGAATGACATATTTCAGTTAGTAATAATTTCTGGATCCACTTGATTAGAGTTGATTCCACTGTGAATCTTCGTGGTTTTGATTATTCTTTTTTCAGTAGTTATTAAAACAGATTTTCACTTGATTTTTGAAATCTCAGTGTTTTAATAAAATATTATCCTGTTCGGCAAACTTCAAATCACATATTTTGCACTCAGTTATTGATGACTCACCCACAATCCCACGTGGATATACGATTGAAATTTTGACAGTTATTGCTAAGGATTTTCACTGTTTCTTAGTGCTACACCATGCATGGGGATTTTCAAATCTCACATTTGTTGAATTACTTTTTGATCTCTCGATTTGGGGGAATTTTATTGTCTGCGTGGTTTCGGCGATTGCATTTTCAACAGTTTGGGATTTAATGAAAAATAATTTAATTATAAATTAATATAAAATATAAGTGAAATGGATTTTTTGTGTCCATTTTAGAACTTAAAATATCCTTTGCAGGAATTAATTTCCATATTTAAGGCTTATCTCTCGAACCATTAAAATTGCATCTTACTACTTGAAAAAACCCATTATTAGATCAATATTTATTAAGGTGCAGTTTAGTACCTGAAAATCCGATCATTGGATTAATAGTTATAAAGCTGTTCTGTTTTTTATTTTGCATACTGTACATATAAATTTATGGAAAAATTTGCTGTGCTTGTTTTAGTTTACAAATGGAGTCGACTTCTATAATATTTTAAAGAATGAAGGTCCATCACCTAATAAATCTGTCAACACTCTGCCTAAAAATCACAGACTGTGTAAGCTATTTGATTATTTTTTTCTGCATTTAAACTGTCGATTTATTATTTAAAACTCTATTTCTATTTTATTTAAGACCTTTATTTTAAAGTGCCCCTTCTGAGTCATTTACAAACATTAATATTTTTCTGCTTGTTGCTATATTTATTTAAATCCTAATTTTTTTAAAACCAATTAGCATTTTCTCTTGCTAACTAATTATCAGACTTTGATACAAATGTAAAACTATCTGTGTAAATGTAAAGTAGTGTAAACACAGTCTGGTTAACCTTGTGCAGTTTTTAATGATTCTATAGTAAAGGTGAACAACCTTTTTCGCCTAGCGAGCCTCAGAAAAGAAATGTTAGTTTTCTGTAGCCCCGACGAAGATTCAATGAATTGTCTTTTTTATATTAAATTATTATTTATTTTTTCCTTATTATGATAAGAACAATACCAACTTTTCTCAACAATTAAAAACAAACTATAGCAATCTATATATATATACTATTTTCAAGGGGACTTGGTATCTGTATGATAATTTTAAATTAAACACTTGAAGTTTAGTATACTTTGTCTTTTTTTTTAAGGAAAAAAAAAACTAAATTGCCTCTGGATTTTACTTTTTCTACAAATAAAATTTTAAATTTTTTTTACTGCATATAAGTGAATTAAATCTTTTCATTTTAAGATGTCAAAAGACTTGAATCTTTTAATGCCTCGATATGCTTAAATTTTATTGTTATAATTTCACTTCTTTAAAAAAAAAATTGAAATCAGTTTAAAAAATAGTTATAAATATGGTAGCTCTTGTTAAGGTGGTTTTTTACTGTGGGCTGCCTATCGACAATTTGAGGAATACAGGTAGTGCATCCCTATTCTAGAATAACCTTTAAGTTAATTGTCAATTATCTCAGCCAATCTGCTCTATTGTATTTACAAAAATCTTTTTGTTTTTCTCTTCTTTTTTTTTAGTATAAACTTAATACTGATAATTGAAATTTCTCATTTTTTATTATAAAATTTTGTATATTTTACACTATCATGGCAAAAAAAATTTTAAGTTTTATTTGTAATTATTTGATTTTTAGAGTTAAAACTAAGTTTTTATTATAATATTTTGCAGATAATGTAATCAAGAAATAAGATATTCACTTGTTTTTGTCTGTTAATAGCAATTTAGCTATCGTGAAAATTAATTCAGATCATCAGTGAGCTTTTTATTTTGGATATAGCCTGAAATGCTTGTTTAGAAAAATGGACACAACTCAAAATAGGTATTTAAGAAAATGGACACGGTTGGAAATGCATGTTTAAAAAAAAGGACATAGCATTTGATTCTGATTTTAAAATTTACATATGAAAATTATTTCTTTTTTAACGAATGAATTAATGGATCCAAATAATTTCGTAATGAGATGTCATTCACAAATCTATATTATTTAGTACATTTTTTTAAAAAAAATCAGTCTTTTTTCGAAAAGATATTAAAAGCCAGCAAGTCTCTTTATAAGGTCGTCATGGGTCCTATAAATTTATAAAGGTAATAATCATGTTTGAATTAATATTTTTCAAAACCACTTTATCATTTAGTGTTCTGATTGCATAGAGATGTTTGAAGAGTTATCTCTGTTAATTTACCTTGCCACCCTTACCTCGAAGTTCAGGACATTGCCACTTAATAACTATGCTTAGTGTTTAAATAAGTACGGAATAGAAAGTATGAAATTTCTTATTACGTTTTTTTTATTGTTTATTGCAATGGTGCATTTTTTGCTGTGTCTGTTTTCTTAAACACACGTTTCAAGCTATGCCTAGAATAAAAAGCTCACCGATGAGATGTTAAAATAATTTCTGGAAGTTTTGCTTCTGGAGCAACCGCATATGTAGTTATTAAAACTATACATTTTGAAAAAGTACATTTACACATTGATCAATTATTGAGACTACCATTCCTTATAATTTTGATTTAAAAAAAACTTATACTTTCATTTTTAATTACATTTCACTTATTAACTGATAAGATAAAAGAAATATAATAAATTAACTCATGATTATTCTTGTGTCACAAATATAAACATTTTTAACCTCCCCCCTAAGAGAAATCTTATTTATATTCTTTTCTTTCTGATTTAAATGTTGAGTGTAAAATAGAGTTCATAAATAACTGAATAATTTATTTCTCCCTCAAAGATAAGTTGTTCAGGAGACAGGTAGACCGACTATACGGGGATGTCTTGTCTGACTTGATGAATGGGAAGATAAGGCAAAAATTGAATGACATACCAAAAAATGTCACTTGGGGTGGTAAGTAATGCTTAAGTTATCAAATGAAATTATATTATAAAAAAACTCTTGTGTAAAAAAATATCAATTGTACCTTTTATTTGTAATTTTTGTATTTTTCATGTCTTAATTATTTGATTTTACTGGTTTTTACCTCTGTTAATTTGGAGTTAGCGGATGTAGGCTTTAGCTATCCGTATTCAATATTTTTTAGAGTATTTCATCTCTGTAGCAACTGAATGAGTCCCGATATATTGAGTAAATAAAAAAAAGTCAAGCTGTGAATGAGAGAATCAATTTCTAAATAAATAAAGTTTTTAAACCTATATTTCATTGTTAAAGGGAAATAGAGTATACTTTGTGCTATTTATGAATAAAGCTTAACAATTGGAATAAAGCATAAAATGCGAAGCACATTTTATCTTTTTAATTGTACTTTATTCTTATTTTTCAGCTCAATTTCTTGTAATTCAACAGTAGTCAACTCAATTTTTTAAAGTTTTTAATATATTTTGGTTATGTTTTATTTTTGTTTTAGAATTACTATTATATTTATATTCAGTATGCTATATTATGATCAGTTATGTGAAATTTATAATGTTAAAGAACATCATACTTGCAATTCAGTATTCATTAATGCAGGTTAAAATTTGTTGAATGGGTACTGATTTATAATGTCAAAAATGAGTTTAACTATATTTAGAATTACTGTTTTTAAAGATTCCTTTTTTTTTAATTTTAACAATCAAGATCATCTTATACCTTTTATTAGGTAATATGATAATTTTCCTACCTAATGCTTATAGAATTAATATAATTTTTTAAACTGAAAACATGATCTAAAAACACAAAAGCTTAGTGATTTTTTTGTAAGTAAAAGATAGACATATATGGATCTGTTATGTTGGTGATTAGAATTTCTACATTCATTTCACATTTCAACTTGGACTTTGTCAGAGTAACATTACTCTCTCCAAATGCAAATATGCCTACCAAGGGTCACACTTTACTAATAGAAGGAAGAATATAATCATATAATACACTGAACAAATTTTTTACTTTCTTTGTACTGAGTTTTATTAACCACTATTGGCAAATCTGCAATCTGTTATAAATATTGAATAGGATTTAAAAAACTGAATATTTTCTATTTTATTTTATAACTTTGATTTCTAATTTTCTTTCACTGCCAATTTTATCCTTTTAATTAAATAGTTAAGTGCTCTTAGGCAACAAAATATATAAAATTAATATTTTCTTTACATTTCTTTTTAAAAATAAATTTATGTCTTATTCTCTTTGTTACTTTTTTCAGTTTTAACAAAGCTGTGTACTTAATTAATCATTTTCTGTGTTAGGTCAGTCATCTGATGTTTTTGAAGCACTTTCAGAAGATTTTATGAAACCTGTAGTGTCCTCTGGTAATTAATTTTTAAATTTTTTCGAAATATACGTTTAGTGACAGCATTATCTTATGATTAAAAAATCTCAGGAAAAAAATACAGTTGATGCTTGATTTAATCTTGATTGATCAAAGGAAAACGAATGTTATCGTGAGTGCACGAAAATACCATTAAGTATTTACTCATAATTGTGAAATACTGGAATAATGTGAGCAAACAATGCTATACTTTAACAGGGTTACCACTCCACAGGGAAAACCTAAAAAATACAGAGAATTTAAAAATTACCTAAAATAACAGAGAATTTTGATTTTTTCTTTACAAACTGGGATAGGGAATTTTGTTTCTTATTTTTGTCTTTTAAAAAATGGTGACCACTCAAAGCTTAATCTATAGGGTAAAGCTAACCATGTTATTTCAGCTTACCGTGTCTTAAAGCTAACCATGTCATTTCAGCTATACTAAACTATTTCATTTACTGTAGCATAATGTTTAAGTATGTTCAGCTGTTTTCTAGCAATTAAAACTAATAAAAATAGTTTGCCCAATATAGCTCACACAAGAGCACAGTAATTGTTGTTTCCTCGTAATATATTGTGTATAATATGTACAGGGAAAACACAGGGAATTTTTTTTCCAGATTTGAGTGGCAACCTTGTTTAATACGAATACGGCAACTAACGCGATGATTGATAATAACATATTTTGTTTATTATGGTTAATATAAATAGATGTCATAGCTAAAATAAAAGCCAAAAAATGCTTTTAAAATAATAATCTAGCTCCAGACTGCCATTTTTAAAAAATATGCATTCAGATAAATGCAAAGATGATACGTTTTCAAACTAAAATGAACTACAGGGGCAATAACATTACACAAGAGAGAATAGAATTTTCAATCAAGAAAAAGAATGATAAATTATTTGTACTCTTTGAAAGAAATTCAGATTGTGAATTCATTCTATTAACCTAAATAAAACGTGATTGTTGGTGCAATATATGCTTTTGATTATCAAGTAATCCATGTGTCACTAATTTTTTGACCATTGATCAGTACCACCATCTTGACATAATAAGAATCTAGGGACATCGTGTTACTCTTCTTTCATTCAAAAGCAATTCAAGATGCTCCGTATTGATGTGAGGTAATATAAGTAAAGAAATAGCGGTTTTAATAATTTCTTTGAAACTTTTTTAAAATTAAGTGCAAAATTTTAGTTTTACCTCGCCAGTTCCAGTTACCCGTTAAAATTTAGATTGATTACCCGTCCAGGTATCATAACATTTATGCAAAACAATATAAAAATTTTAATTTTCTATCAAACAAATAATTTACAAAATAAAGATTTAAGGAAATTTATTGCGCACCTGTAAAACATAGGTCTTTATTTTTAGATTCTTTTTAAAACTAAGCTTTAAAAAAAAATTTCAAAAAGAAATTTGGGATGACTTTTTGTATGCAGGATGATTACTGTAAAACTTTGCTATAAAGTGCAGGTATCTGCTATAGACTTCATTAATTAATTTTTCATTAGATTTATGGGAATTTTGAGTAGAATTTATTTATGTAGCTTTTGTTAGATGTTAAGATATTATAAAATATTTTAATAACACTTTAAAATGACAGTATATTAAATGAAAAATGTTTTATAATAGTATACGTAATTTATGTGCAATGAGGTCTACCTCAAACTCCTAGATGCATAGTGAAATTTTTTATTTTATCACCAAAGTTTAACAGAAGAGTAAAACAGCGATTATAGTGTACTTAACAATAGGATTTTTTCTCGGTATCCCAGTAATTTTGAATCCCCAAAGTAATTTCTACATCGAGCAACAAACCAGGGGCAAATTTGCTCTTATGGAAAACTTTTTCTGTGAAACTAACAAGCAATTGTGTTACAAAAGAAAAAAAAAAGATGAAATCATTTCATGGATAGCACGACAATAAGCTAACGTTAACCGGACTGGTTGAAAATTCTATTTATAAAGGTAACAAGTAAAAAAACTGCTCTATTAAAAATTTAAAGTTATCAATGGATAATTTTATTCATGCTGGCTTCTTTTCAATATAAATGTTCATCAACTTCTACTGAAAATGTAACAAAATGTCTCCAAATGAGTTTTTTGGTGAGTAATATTAAAAAAAAAGGTTTTAATATTTTTAAAATAAAATTTTCTTAAAAAAATTTCAATAACAATTTTTATTAAAAAAATTATCTTGGTTTTAACATGACTTTTAATTTTTGGGAAATTACTGATAGTATAAAATAATTAGTCATTTGTAAGAAAATATCTATCTTCTCTTAGCAACTATTGTATACTTCTATAAAATGCTGTGTCTAAAAACGTAAACAATAAAACATTACACTTATTTATATGCTGAAAGCAAACTCAGTATGAGAATAATACAGATATATCTTATTTTTCAACAGTTAACTTTAAATTTTACTCATTGCGATTTTATTAACTTTTCCAAGATATCAATTTAATTCTTGTATTTATTTAACTACTATATTAATACAACTAAAATAATTTTTAGCATTGTTTTCTGAACTTGTATGTCTTCTCAAGTAGACACTTCTCTTTAGTGAACATATTTCTCTGTTCTAAAGTCCTCTTTACAAAGGTTTCTCAGATTTAAAATTGTGCGCAAAAGTAAAATATGTCATACCTAAACCAGTTATTTCAGCTTTATTGTTAAGAAACTGATGAAATACACGGATTTCTAAAACTACAATAATTTTTTATAATAAAGTTACTATTTTAGATAAAATTTTGTTGAACATATATGACACTTACCCCTCACTAAATACCCGTTACTGGTTCTGAAGACTAAAAACCCAGTACATCTCTTGTCATTATAATGATGTGTTATATTAGAGAGCATAGTCTGTATTAACAGGTTAATGAAAGAGAGGCTGAATACATTAGTCTGCCACTTAAGTATTAAGATACCACTAAGGTACTTAAAAATATATCCTAAAAATTTCAGTTCTTGTGAGTTATGTGAAATAACTTTCTAAGCATTTGTTGATTATTAACAAATGGGTTTAAAGGTTTCAGATCTAATTTAAGCTATTTTGTTTTTCAGTCAGTGAACTTCTTTCAAATGAAACTTATATTGATGTTAATGTTTATACTGGCCAGTTGGATCTTATTGTTGATACTCTAGGTATGATACTTTTAAAATATCTCTTAATAACAGGCAATTAATAATTTTTCCTAAAAAGATTGTTTGACACTATGTTTTAATTTGTGTTTTTAAGTTTTTTGTTGACATTACAGGCACACTAGCATGGATTGAAAAGTTGAATTGGCCTGGCAATAAAGGTTTTATGACTGCTCCGAAGAAACCTTTGACATTTCCCAATGATCGCACAGGAGGATTTGTAAAGACATTCAAGCAATTTAGCTTCTTTTGGATTTTAAAAGCTGGTCATATGGTAAGTACATACTTAGTATTATTTAGTTAAGCAATTACTTTCAAGTAGAATAAACATTATTAGTGTTTGAAGTAAAATAAGTGTAAATTTAAGTTATAAAACATTTCGAAGAACAGTTCTCGATTTTGATTAAACTTTGTGTTGAAGTCGCAACGTAATTTAAGTAATAGTTTGAGTGAAATAATGATAAAAATTTTCGGAAATCTTTATTTACAAATCTTTTATGTTTGCCGACTAACAAAGGAAATACTCCAATGCAGTACTCAAATCATGATAAATTTTACCAATATAGCTTATAATTCAACATATATAGTTAACTTATATTTCTTCATTGTTATTAAGATAAATGTTTAATAATTAAATATTTACTGGGGATCATTTACTAGCCATATGTTTTTAACACTACCTTAATTGCAATTGTTTTAATTTTTGGGCTAAAAAGTTTTAACTTTTTAATAAGTGTTCAACCATCGAAAAAAAACTGTGTTTTTATGATGTGTTCATGTAACAGAACTTGGCTATCTTATTTAGTGTGATGTTATTGTCATCAAAGTTGGCAATATAATTATTATTCGCTTTGTAGTTCGATGATATATTGGAAAAGCTAATACTCTATAATTTTTTTTTTGTGTGTGTGTGAAATCTTTGAAAACATTTTACAACACACAAGCTGAATTGAAATTATATTTTCAACTTCCATACTCTAAGAGTATATGTACTAAAAAGTATGCATATGTACTAATATGAGTTCTATGATGAGTGTACCATATTGAGAACCCCAGAGATGATTGTGCTCCGGAAAAAATCTGGTTTTCCGCTAACCGCAATATGAAAGTTTCCAGAAATCCAAGGTCCAGAAGTTTAAAAAATTCACATTTATTTATAAAAATTCTTGTATATTTTATCAAAAAAATATTAGAACTACAATTTATACTTGACATCCCTTTCATTTGTAAATATTTTTTCTGGGAGAATAATAAATGTAATAAGAGATAAAATTAAACTTATAAATAATTAAGCATTTAAATTATGCTGCATATAATTTATTTAGAATTTCATGTTTTGAAAATATCAATGATTTAAATTTATAAAACATAAATTTTTTTAAATGTGTCATTAATGATTTTACTCAAGACATTTTCAGGATTTTTGAGTTGGGCTCACAATCCCCCCTGGAACCCATCTGTGTGACCTTGGGCCGCTCGAGTCAAAAAGGCTCGTTTTATTTAAAATACTGTGGGCTGTGAAGGGAGAATCACGGGATCACATATATATGATCACAGTCCTCAAAAGGGTTAAGAAATGCATTAGGGCTCAGCAAAATGGATATTACACATATTATATTAAAATTTTTATTTGAATATGAACTTATTTCTTAGGTTCCTTCAGATGCTCCAGAGTCTGCTCTCAAAATGCTTGACATGATACTTAAAAAGAATAAGTGAAACCCTTCTGTACAAAAATAAAGCCTACTAGAGATTAGTGTAATGTCTCTCTAAAAACATTATTGAACTCATATTTAATATTGGATATATGTTCCTGCTCTGTGAGAATTTTGCACTGGGGATCAGTATTCCTCACTCTTCATCCACTACTTACACACATGACCATATTTAGAGTAATTGTCTGATTTTATAAATGATTGTTATGTTTATTTGTTGTTTCAGTGTATATGTTGAAATAAAAATATTTTCTCGAAACATTTGGTGCATTCTTTTACAATATCTAAGTCTTTAAGTTTAATTTCTAATTGAAGTTAACTCAAATAATTTATGAAGTGGTTTAGGTTATAAAATAACAAGGATCCGATCAAACTGATGATAAAAAAAAAAGCATGCGTGTAGGTTTATTTTTTATGACAGAAACTACCTATGCGTTTATCATTTTAAGAACAGTTAATTTCTTATTGCACTTATGACTTTCATAACATTGTGTTTTCTTAATTATCTGAGTCAATACTCAGAATTGAAATAAAAACTCAATTGTGATAATCAATCAAAAAGTGTTAATTTTCAATGTCAAAAAAAAAAAAAAACTGTTTGTTAATGAATGTATGAACTATGCTAATGTTTGGTATCAATTCTATAATGTTATCATGAAAACCCCTTTATTCAACAAGCGGAGGAAATTTGTTATACAGTGTTGAAAATTCTATGAAAACAAGTGTTTTCATACAAATCTAAAAATGAAGAATCTCATCTAAAAACAAGGAAACAAAATGGATTTGCAGCGTGTTCTGTAGTTATAATGAATATATACTTTTAGAATTCAAATTTAAAAACAAAACTTCACTTATATATTGAGGGTTGCAAGCTATTATTAAAGCTAGCATAAACCAACGTGGAAAGACCCAGATCGGAGGAATTGTCAGGATGTCCTTAAAGTTTCCAATGATTATCACATCAAAATTTCCCTGATAAGATCAAAACCTGTTTGATTGCCTAAAATAGAGAGTTGAATGAGCATTTTTTTGATTTTATAACACACATGAATAGTGAAATATTTTGAAAATAGAAGCATGAACTATAGTGCAAAACTCAGAGTGTCAAAATGATTTATTGCTATCTTTTTAATATAACATGTCAAATGAAGTCAATTTCTAAAATTATAATAAAATATTTTGAATACAAATTACAATAACATAACAGAATAGTTTAAGTTACATGTCATGACTACTGTCCTATTTGGCATTTTAACTCTCTAATGATTTTCATATCAAAATTAAGCTGATAACATAAAAACTACTTGATTGGTGTTCAGGGTGGCAAAATGATTTGTTGTTGTCTTTTGTATATAATATGTCAATCGATAAAATTATAATAATGATATTAAATATCTTGAAATAGACAGATTATACATTAGTGAGTCACACAATGCATGGAAGAGCAAAAAAAAAAAACAGGATTTGTTTTAAACAAGAATGAAAAATATTTAGATATTTTAAAATTTTCTTTTTACATTTATCACAGACAGCACGTTACTGCTAACCCCCGGTAATCAAGCTCAGGTAGGTTAACAACTATCACAATTTTATTCTGAAAGTGTCACAGTTAGTACTGATTAAAATGAATTGAAAATAAAAACATGAACACAACACAAATTGTAAACAATAAACTGTTATCACACAGAGCATTATTTTAATATACCCAGCAGCAATATAAGACATATTTCACAGCATACAATGATCAGTGATCCTGATTTACTTTATACCTGAAAGGTACAAAGTAAAAAGAAATAGAAAAACTTGAATAACAATAAATTACAGAAATTTAATATGACAGATATAAATGCATTCAACTTATACTATATATTAATAAAAAATTGATCAAATAAAGCAAAATTTCAACGAATTTTTTTTATGTTAGTAAATTGCTAAGTTGTAACAAAGTATAATGTCATTGTATATACTAAAAAAAAAAATTGTTAAGTGTAAAAATGGAAAAACTAGTTTTAGACAACTCACAACATTCATTTAACGATCATATAAGTATAAACAACCTGAAATAGAGTTTCATAATAAACAGTTATGAGACTGTCTGTTATCAAACTATGTGTCCATCTTATTTCAAAAGTTATTTTGATCCTAATTTTCATTGGCAGTTTTATTATCAGTCAAGAAACACAATATTTTTACTGTACTTATGCAAGCCTCCACGAGATATGTCATATTTAAGTATTTAAACTCTTTTAATTGGATACTTGCAACTTGAGAAGAAAACAGTTAATCTGGTTGTGTATAAACTACATGGCATGATAACATTACAGCTTATTAAGCTTGCTTTATTATCATGCTGATTAAATTTTTGAATCAGATTCAATTGAATACCAGCAAGCAATGTCAAATGTGGGCACCAAACCTGATTGGCTGCTGATCATGGCATATACAAATGCCATGATTCAGAAGCTATACAGATTTGACACCCACAAGTGATGTCACTTGTAAGTACCCCATTAGACTTGGTTACAGGACATTCCACAGTGACTTGTCAGAAATGTAAAAAATAAAACTATTGCCTGGAGTAGAAACATGCATTAAAAAAAGTTAAGGTTTTCTCAAGAGTTAAGAGAAATGGAGAATATATAAGTCTATATCTAAAAGAAATACTTAAAATATTAGAAGGCACATTGGACAAGAAAGTTTAAAAAAAAATTATTATTTTCAAAACATACATATGATTGTTGTTGTTGTTAATTTACGTCGCACTAGAGCTGCACAATGGGCTAACTACATATGATAAAACATTTTTATGCTTGCATAGTTTTAATAATACTAGTAATATTTATTTATGGATGACTCAACCTATGACCCAGAAACAATGGATGATTCAACCTATGATAAAGCTTTTTGACTTCTATTGTAACTACGTCTATCAATTTTATAACTACACTCTGTGGCAGAATTTTTTCAGGCTTTCTGCGACTAATTTCCTTAGCACTAATATTTTGCTTTAAGATACTTTCAATTATAACAATTACTAATTTAAAGTGGCAGAAATGTTGTGTTTACAGAAGAAAGTATAAATAAAAATGTATAAAAAAGTTTAATTGTAAAAGTAATATTTTTTTAATTCTAATACTGTATGCAATATTCTCGCATTTTGTATGCAGAAAAATGCACTAAATATTTCTTCTTTCGAATTTTGTAATTAATACACAAATTGAAAATTGTAAATAAATTAAACAATAATAAACAGGGATGAAAGTACCAGTTAGCAAAAAAAGCTGAATTCTACATAAACGCAATCAAACATTATGAAATTAATAAATGTATGGAGCTTAAAAAGCTTTGAAAAAAGCTGAATTCAGAGTAAAAGCTGAAAACTTTCATGCCTGAATAAATTAGAATTTGTACATAAATTAAAAATAGTAAAATCCATGCAGTAACTCCCACAAGAAAAATCATGAATCACTCGAATAGCACTCTTTTAAAAAGATATGCTCAAATAAGTGTATGTAAAATATGGTGTTCTTAAAAGAAAAAAATGGAAGAAAGAATATCATTTCTAAAGCGATCTATCTTTTAAACTTTCGCGATTTCTGAATTTTTTTATTTTATATTATTAATTTGAAATTCTGGCTGAAGCCAGTCAATACCGATTTTTTAAAAAAAATCTCAAATGAGAATAGAGAAATCACAATTATTTCTTTCCTGGTGTGCAAAAAAACATCTTTGAAAAAGATTCTGCAGAAGAAAAAAAAAATTGTTTTGGAAAAATTATGCAGAAAGCAGGGCTGATTGTGCTCCGGAAAAAATCCGGATTTCCGCTAACCGTGATCCGGAAGTTTCCGGAGATCGAAGGTCCAGACGTTTAAAAAAATCATTGATCACAGAAGTTTCCCGAAATCAAATTTTCAAACGTGAAACACAGCAATAGTTTTATCAGCAAATAGTTATAATCATAAACTCAAGAAAGAAAGACATATTTGTAAATTTTAATTACTTCTCCAGGTCATCATAGGCATGTGTAAATGGTATAGGTATATGTAAAATTTTAAATATATTTTAAGTAAACTACGAAATATTGAGAAAAAGGAAGAAAAAACCTTGTTCAAATTTTTTCAATTTAAACTGTTTTTTTTTTTTTTTTTTTTAAACTCAAGAAATTTTCCGGAATTTTGACTTGGGCTCACAATCACCTCTGAGAAAGGAAAACCAAAATTTTTCCTTCCCTAATGAAAAATCTTTTTGCAAAAACTCTTAACGTTCTGTGGCAATGTCGCCGTAATTCTGCCACTAGGTAACTACACACCCACAAATAAATATTTGTAGGTGTTATAGCATCAGAGTAAAGAAAACTAGTTGCACATTTTTTGGACATTCATATTACTTTCAAAAATAATTCAAATACACCCTACATTTATGAATACAGCTTTATGTTAATAATAGCCCTCAACATAGAATATTGTAACAGAAAAGAGTTGAACATCCCTGATTTTATTGAGATAAAAATAAACTTTAACATATCTAACAATTATTACAACAATCTAAACAAATTTTTTTTCAAAGAATCAAGAGTTTTATACATTGGATCAGAAGGGACTAAATTTACATAAAAAATAGTCACCAAATTTTGGTGATAACCATGCACTAGCCAGCAAGAAACTAACAAAATATCGCAAAAGGGGATCAAATAGAAGGGCATAGCTAGTAACCACCCCTGGGCAAACCACAACATAATTTTTCTTTTCTTAAATTTTTTGAAACGACAAAAAAACTTAAGCACCTTGATGATGGTTGTTGATAGAAGCAGATACCATTACAGGAATATCCTCAATCTGAAACTATGCAATATGAAAATAAAAGTCAATGTTTTGACATAAGTGTTTAGAATTTTTGATTTGCATATTGCTCTTTGTTATTTCCCAAGAGATAACAGAGACAAAATATCACAGGAATCAGCTAAAAATGATTCTTTTGAAAAATTTACATTTGTATTTTCTTCATTAGTTTTTTCATTCAAAACATTGGATTTTTTACCAATAAATGAATCAATCAAATCGTCTATATACTCATCTTCTGGATTGCCAATAAAAGAGTCCATTAAATTATTAACATTTTTATCAGACTTATCAATGAATGAGTCAATCAACTCATCTATGTACTGGTCTTCTGAATCACCAGTTGATAAGTCAATAGGCTTATCAATAAATGAGTCAATCAACTCATCGATATACTTGTCTTCGGGTTCTATTTCCTCACAGTGTGAAAAATACGTGTTATCACTTTTGACATTTGAAATTTCTAGATCAGATTCACTCTCATCATTATCATAAAAAACACCTTTAAGATTGGCAGGAATTGGAAACTGATTTGAAATCGTTTGTAATGAATAATGACTATCATTTTGAGTAGCATTAAATTTTCGCAAATTATTTTCTTCAATACAAGATTTGGATTGACCCGTAAATAAATCAGTTACTTTATTTTCACTAGAATTATATCGAGAGTGAAAAGGCAAGATGAAATTATTTTCATTCTGCTTTAATGATATTGCTTCATTGTTATCACAAACTTTGATAGAAGTATCTAGTTCTGGAATGGTATCTTTCAAAGAAGGAGAAATAAAATATTTTTGATCACTAGAATGAATAAATAAATTCTCTTTTTCTTTCAAACTAATATTGTTGTCATTAATAAATACACTGGAGGATGAGGAGTAACCTTGATCACTTGCAATAGATATTTGTTTGTCAAGGATAAACGAATTCTCACTTTTTTGCAAACTAAAATCTCTAGTTGGCATCAAATTAGAAAATTTGTTATCCCTAAAAAACAAGCTAGAGGATGAGGAATATCCTTGATCACTGATAGCAGATAAGTGTGTGTCACTGTGACACAAGTTCTTTTGTCTAATTTCATTCATATGTGACAAGTTAAGAAAGTCATCACCACTAGCTGATAAAATAGAGATCTGAGATTTATGCTTGAAATTAGTTTTTAGAATATCTGACTCCAATGAAGTTTTTGTGTTGCAAGCAGCAAAGTCAGAATATAAAGGAGTGAAAGCTTTTGGAATGTCATTTTCACTGGATGAAGAAAGTTGATGTAATAGTCGAGTGGATGGCACGATGAATGTTTCAGATTTTTTACCGAACACATTGGATACTCCAGGCTGTTTTGAGGGTGGCTTGCCTCTGCCTCTTCCCCTGCCTTTTGAAACTTGGTCATTTTGCGATGACGCTTTTCTTTCAGTTTCCTTAACGCTTGTTTTACTTTCTCCAATCTTCATGATATCAGTAATCTAAATGAATAAATAAATAAATTATAAACACAAAAATTATACTTATGCTTTGAATAGCATAAGATTATATTTTCCCACCCTTCAACTATAATAGATTTTCCATAGTTTCAGGAAATATTTTTCTTAGAGGTAACAATTAAAATTTCATCCAGCACTACATATAAATAATTTAAACAAATATAAAGGTTAAATAGACAATTGGTTAAGTTAAGATAGATGATTTACAGAAATTAAGTTTGCTCCACATCACAACCACCAGAAAAAAATATTTTGATTGTGAGTGGAAGCCATATGAATGAAATGCAAAATCAAAAAAATATTTGGCTATTGTTATCCCTAGATGAAGAAAATGTATATAATAGCTGTGTATGTAGTTTAACCTTTGACTTGCATGTGAAAAAAAACTTTAAAAAAAAAAACATATACATTTACACAGATACAGAACAACTGACGATGTTAATCTGACGATTTAATGACGATTGAAATTAGACGCAATAAACATTTAGAGCATAATATTTAGGCAACTTTAAAATTTTTGGTTAGTAGTAATTGTCCTGCATTTCATGTGAATCATTTCTCCAGGCACTGTTTCACAATATAATTCTTATGCCAAAACTTAAATTTTTATAATTTCAGAAATTTGTTTAAAAAATAAACTAGAGGATCTTTTTTTTAACTTTAAATAAGTATTTTTTAAGCAAAAATGCACCTCTCGGCATAGAATTTAATGGCATTTAAATTTAAACAGAACTAGCTATAATGCAGTCACGGAATAACATACTCAAAGTAATATTATAACTGAGTCTGATACCAAAAACAGTGGGAGAAAAGATAAATAATGAGGAAATATCACCACAAAGGATTAGTTTTTTAGACAGTTTAAGAGCAAAGAAATTATTAAAAATTTCTCTATTTTTTCACCTTTTTAACAGGATCTCTATTAGAGAAATCCTGCATATCGCCATTGTAATGGGAAGCTTCCAAACCTTTGCTATAAGCACCAGAAAATTTGGAATGGCTTGAAAGTGGTTTACCTCTGCCTCTACCTTTTGGTACTTTGTTGCATTCAGATGTGATTTTTCTTTCAATGGTGTTAATGTTTGTTTTATGTTCTTCAACCTTTCTCATGATTTCAGCTATCTAAATAAATAAATAAACAAAAATCGCAAACATAATAAAGTAGTGTTTACTATTTCTTTCATGTATACAGATATATACATATTTTTTTTTTACAAAGATGCTGTTTTTTTAGATTTCTGAAGAATACTATAAGTTAAGTATGAGTTTTGTTATTTGATTTTTGAGTTTCATGTTTTGTATAATGTCATTTTTTTAAAAATGTTAAGTACCAGTCAGAGGAATTTTTTTTTTCCAACTTACATTCTTGACTTAGTTAGAAAGAATCATGGGTGCAAGTTGGAAAAAAGGCCAAGACTGAAATTTTTTTGACTGAAATACCTAACATACACAATACCCCCTCGACTAATGCAAACTATCTAAGAAAGCTTTGTCATAATACATCAAGTTTAAATACTGTACAAAAAATATTTATTCATCTGTCTTTTGATAAAATAACAACAGGACATAAGAAAGTAGACCAATAACGTAGACCTAAAAAATATTTTTAAGGGCAGAAGAAAAAAAACATCCGATTTCCGTCTTCGAGTCAGTCTTGTCTCCGTCTTACTTCTGTCCGCGGACATTTTCGAAAGACGGAAATCCGTCCTGGGTATGGAAGACTTGCACCCATGGAAAGAATGCATATGAATAAATTTTTGGCATTGCAATACTAATTGAGGCACGGTAATGCATTTAAGCGTCAAAGATAATGAATAAAATTTAACAGATTTGATACCACACAGCTCTGTTTTTACCTCTGCACTAGCTTTCCACTGCAATCAATACAATAAAAAGAAAAACAATTAATAAATGTCAGAAATTTTAAATTTAATAAGCTTGCCACCTCAGAATGATTGGAAATAAATAACTTATAGTCATTTTATGACAATGCATTTACCTTGTTTTATTGAACCAATCTCTTTTTCATTTGATATTCATGCATCAATTTTTGTATTCAATACTATATTCTGTTCACCACGAGTTGATACCAGAAACAAAATTAAAGGTTTGCTTTATATCACCAACAATACGTACAACTGCTGATTCTTTACTGAGTGGGTAATTAATTCATTTTTTATTGACTTCTAGTCAGATAAATGCTGTTTCTCACAGCTTAGGAAATAGTCAGCCAAAGGTATTGCTAAGCACCCCTGTGGCAGAATGTTTTTGGGTCTTCTGCGACATACCTCTCTGATACTAATAATATCTTTCTACAAGATACAGCCGGACCTCTATTTAACGAAGTCTCTAAATCCCGATAATAAGATCGTTATATAGAAAATTCGTTAAATAGGAAATTACCTTCGCTATTTGGAAGTTATTTTACGAAGGAATTTCCAAAATGTTCTTGATTTCTTGAAAAATAACAAATATACATGCTACTAATTTAAAGTAATTAGTGAACTTTTAAAAAAAAGAAACTTTTTAAATAAAGTAATTTTTTTATTTGAATACGTAACATTTTTTTATTCTAATATTTTGGGTGATATTCTCGCATTTTTTAGGGGAAATACACACTAATTATTTCTTTTTTCACATTTTGTAAATCATCGCATTTAAAAAGAAAAGGAATCTGCAGCACTAACTACCGAAAAAAAGATCAACGGCGAAATCATGCGAATCGAACTCTTCAAAAAAGGTTTACTAAATGCGTGTTTTCATTTCAAGATTCAGCTGTTGTAATAAATAGTATCGTATTAAAAATATAGGATTTTAAGAGCTATGTGGAAATTAAAACTAATAACTGCAGAAAAAATAAAAAAATAGAATGAAACTTTCTGTAGAAGAGAAAACCAAATTTTTTACTTCATTATTCTCAAATGGTAATAGAAAAATCACAAGCATTTTTTTCCCACTCAGATGCACAAGAAAGGCATCTTTTGAATATAGTTATGATGAAAAGATAAAATTTTTCTAAAATTTCTTCAAAAAAGAAAATATAAAATTTTTTACTTCTCAAAGGAAAAACTCTTTCTGCAAGAACTCCATATCGTTCTGCGACAATGTCGCCACGATTCTGCCACAGGGCTAAGCACTAGATTACTTAGTTCACTTTTGCTATCAGTTTTTATTGAACAAAGTATAATAAAAAAATCAGACCTAAATGTAAAAATCCTAAATAAACACACTGATTTATGCTTCCTTTCATTTTTGCCTTACAGTAGTCTGTATGTCATCAAGTATGAGTTTCGACTTTCTCTAAAATAAACTTACCTATTTTTCATTACTTCGTGATCAAAAAATTTGATTCGCTCATCTGCCATAAAACTATACATTGCGAAATATATGTTTTTATCTGTTACATAAAAACATATGTTGTATTATTCTGTTAATTTTAAAATAAATCTTATACAAACTTAAAATAAGATAATTTAAACTAACCTCTGGTGGAACTAAGCAGGCTTTCAAACCTTGTTCTTGAAAATTATCCATTTTATCTAAAATAATGATGCATTGATGTAACTATAAAGTTTTATAATTTAAAAAAAAATTAACTTTTTAATGCAACAAACAATAAAAATATCTATGAAATGTTTAAAAATAATTTTCTCAGCTAAAGGTTTAAAAAAATATTTTTAGAGCCTTTTGATATTTTAATAATACTTGTAATACATTGGAATTTTCAAGAATATCAAAAAACATATAGGATTCTGTTGTACAATACAAAGGCAAGCTTTGGGTTTTAGCAGTCCAAAGCGAAACATTGAGGCATTTTATTAGAGTTGATCAAAATCATGTTTCATTTAAAAATATATATATTAGGTATTGGATTTCTTTAATTTCAATGAGATATTTTTTAAAATTCACTTCTTGTTTAACGATTATCTCCGATAATATGTATAAATAATACTTTATATTATTTAATAACAATACTGCAACTAAAATTTTTAATACCATCAACAATAATAAGGTTAATATTATTATTTAATTATGACAAACTAATTACTGAATAAATAAAGTTAGTTGCTTTTATGTATCAAACTCAAAACTTTAAATAATTGTAAAGACAGAGAATGAATTTGCTAAATGAAAAGTAAATTAATTTAGATCAGAGAACATTTTTAAATTAAATTATTCTTAGCAGGAGAAGGCTTTATTCTTTAATTACAAGTATATATACATACATATTATCCTCATATTTAATACAATTTAAAATTACTTGAATTAAAATAAATATGTATAAAATAAAATGGGTATAATTAAAATATATTTAGTAACAGTGAAACAGTAAATTATTCTACATATGATTATCAGCACATTAAAATATGAAAATGACATGAAAAGAGTACTGAAATATTATTATTTCAAAGTTGCATTTTTATCTACATTTAAGTTCTAGTTCTTGAACAGTAAAAAAAAAAAAAAAAAAAATCTTATTTTGTTTTTTAATTTATTAACATATTCCTCATTATAGGAATAAAACATTTATTGCCAATAAGACTTGATATCAATTATCACACCTTTAAGTATATACACATAAGATAAAGTTTTCTACATAATTCAATGGTTTTAAAAAAGTAATAATGAATCATATAAATATTTTTTTTTAAAGTAAAATGTTTTTTTTAATCTTGCCAACCACATTTTTTTTATTTTTTCTTGACATTATCTGCAGCAGTTCTTGGAGATTGCACTACACACACTGACAAATGGACAAAAATGGAAATTTTTATTATAATTAATTTCCATGACATAAAAGTTAAATTCATGCTATTATTTTAAAAATTACACTCCTGATATAAAGAATCTTTAACTGAAATGAAATTAGACAGATTTTGAAACATAAATTGAAATAATTTGAATAATATGTCTCAGGAATAGGAAAAATATATCCAAGATCTAGCAAATATAAGGAGAAAAATATATTTTTTACAAATATGGATAAGTTAAATATAATGTGATTTTTTTAGCTTTTTGAGCAGTAAAATTGTGTGTTAAAAAAAGTCATTCTCAAGATAGATCACTATCGATAAAAATGAGTGCCTAAGATGGAAGGCAGGCATTAGTTATCACTGATTTGAAATATGTTTTTATCAGTTTCAGATTTGAAAATGAACTTTCTGCAGTAGTAATGGTTACAGTAACAATAAGAAATCATAAAATTTGGCATAGCATCCGTAAAATTGTTTTTGTACTGTAAGGTTGTTTTACTATAGTTTTCACTATCTTTCTTGAAACTAGAAACCTTGATTCATGGGCAGTAATTAAATAGCAAGATGACAATGCCAACAACTTTTCATAACCCCCAGTGGCAAGGACTATTAACATGCTTACACATGCCACAATAATTGGCTATGAGATAGCCTTTTCTACTGGGAAAGTGATAAAACAAAGAGTGTAATTTATCAAGAATTAAAGAAAAAATCTCAATGTTGCAAGAAAGTACAGGGAGAATAAAAAAATTTAACAAGGCTCTGGGGGTTGCCTAGTTCGTTCACCCCTAAGTGTGGCCCCGTGAACATATAAGCATGCATGTTGCAACAGAATTCAATTTTAAATACCAAATAATGTTTAATTTTATTATAACAATAATAATATATAGTAATTATATTCTAATTTCCCTTATACTAATTTTTTTAGTAGAAAGATGCTCAATATTTTTTTTCTTCAAAAAAATATTTTAGCTTCCCCAAAGCAACTAAAAGTTACGCTTTTTAAGTTTGTCACAGACGGTAATTTCTTCTTAAAGTTTATTACTGACTATTTCGGTGTAGGTATCAATATGGAAAATTTCCCTATAACTATCACAAAATTATTATTAAAGAAAACAAAATAGAAAGACATAACTACTTTTAAATAAAAATAAATTAATTACTTACTTTTCCATTTATCTTTCTTTTTTTTGTCATATTCTCTTTTAAATGAAGATGTTAAACTTAACTTGGAGCTTATTGCTTGTCTAAGAGCTAAAAAAGAATATTAAATTTATGTTATAATTGAATTTTAATGCAAATTCATAAAATGATTCTAAATACATTTGTACAAACCTAACTGCGCCATGCGTCTCCCAGGATCCATTTTATTTCCAGAATATTTAGGTCTTGGGTCCATATTATAATATCTGCTAATAGTTTGAATAAATATATTTAATAATAAACGTCACATGTTCGATTTTTTACTTTAAAATGAAAAAATGTTAATTCTCACAAAATCATATGATTTTATTTTATTACTGTAGATTGAAAATAAGTTTTAAGAGAAATCATAAAGTAATCTTAAAGCGTATAAGCAAAATATTGCATTAGAAAGCATTTTTTAAACTTCCAGAGTTACTCATACAGTCCAATACTACCTTGTTCAATTGATACATTAGAAACTATTTAAAAATTTTGTTTTTCCCTTCAAGATTTCAGATAATTAAAATATCAACCTAATAATACTTTTTATTACTCTATCTTTAAATTTAGTTAAGCTTCAAGAGTAAATTTTTCAGACTGAAAAATTGCAACACATAAAAATATTCTTTTACTAGCTTCACCTCTTGTTACTTCATGAAAAAAACTACGCATTGAAAAGAATTTTTGTCACAAAGTTGATAAAACAAAAAACACAGTTGGTTATAAAATCATTCCTGATACTTTGCACAGTTAAAATTTTCTAAATTATTTTTAAAATTTCTAAGTTATTGTGTATTTTTTTTTAACACAGTAAGATATTTATATATATATATAATGCATTTCTTCTTAAACCACATTAAATTTGCAGGTGTAAGTAATAAAAATTGCAGTTAAAAAATTTCTGTAACTAAATAAGAACTATAAAATCTTTAAATTTTTTGTCAAGAGGTTACGATTTCAAAAGTTAAATAAATCAAATTTAAAAAAAAATGATGCTTCAAATGATTAAAATTATACAATAATTGAAATAATGGTTCAAATTTCTAATGATCTAGAAAGTTGAAAACAGCTTTTTTGCCACAAAAAAAGAAGTAAACAGGTTTTATTTTACTTACATGATTAATAATAATTAAGTTGCACGAAATTTTACATAAAAATGATTAATAGTTACACATTAGAAAGAAGAAAAAACTCGTTAATTGAAATCAGTGATTTTTTTTTTGAAAAAATCTAAGTAATATAAATATATTAACAAATATTTTAATAATAACCATGCTAAATTATTTGAAATTATAAAGTCAAACACGTGTTTATAAGAAAGGTGTCGAACGATGTCTTTATTTTTATTACTTAAATGTTTTAATCAAAAATTAGCAAGAAAAAATTCTACGCCAAAAAATTCGGCACAATAATATAATTTCTCAATGAGATTAAACTATTAAAATCAAAAGTTGAAATAGCTTAGTGCGTAGTTTCCTGTTTGTTTCTGTGATATGAGGGTAGGTTTCGTTACCACCTTTTGAATTAGATAGAATATAGGAACCGGGGAAAAACAGTGCAGCACAGAAGGGAAGTTTGTAGTTCCCATTGGTTGATCTTTCTCGCGCTATTGGCGTGATTGCAATGCGGCTAAAATAACAAGTATAATAATGTTGATAGCGTTGCCTCGAAATTCTCTCCAAAAGATATATATTTTTCTTCAATAGGATTGTCTTTTTAGAATTTATTATTTTATTTATCCTGTTCTCGTGTATATATATATAAAATTATTAAATTTTTATTTTATTCTTTTCTAATTTTCATGAGACGAAATACTAGCTATAAATTTCGGTATGCTTAACACGCGTTTTTTCTAATAATAATATATATATATATATTTTAAAATCAAAGAAGTTTAGAAAAAAGTAACAGAAACATAGTTGTAATTAGAAAGTGGTATAAAATCTATTAAAGTCCTTGTCACTTAATATTTAAGGAAAGAGTACGCTTCGTCTACAGTGCTCAAAATCTATAAATGTTTTTACAAATTTATTTCTTTTTTAATTAATATTCAGATGATTCTGTGAAAATCAGATGCATTAAAATGGGCTTTATTTATTTAAGAATGCAATCCATTGATTTGAGATTCCTTTAAATTCTAAAAGAGTAACATTTTTATTATTATTTGTAATATTCTGTCACTTTTTATAATTTTTAAGTATTTGGTCTCCCAAGTGAGGTGCTAAGTTTTTAAAAGTTGTTTGATAATGGAGTTATATAATTTAGAACACAGACTAATAAAAGATAGCGAAAATCATACGATACTCATTAAATTCATGCTATAAAAAATGACATCTTTTGTGAATTGGATGTGCGAGCGTCATCATAAAAGTATGCCAGTTAGCAAGTGCCTGTTGTAAAAACGCCACACTGTTTAAAGAAAGGCAACCTTTTTATTGTTGCCAAACGACAAAATATTACTCTTTTCCTTTTCAATCTGTTAACCATTTTGCCAAGGCTTAAACCATACAGAAATAGACATGCCAAAACTCTCCTATTATTTTCGAAGTTCTTTTTTGACAATAACAATAATATGTTCAAGCCAGTAAGCTTTGCAATAAATTTTGTGTTTAAAATTCAATGAAACTGATTCTCTTTATAGCAAAGCTCTCAAGTACCTAAGTTATAGTTTACATTTGTATGGTTTTTGTGTTGTTTTGTAGCATAATTGTTTTTATTTAGTTGATATGGGTCGTACTTTCACTTTGGACTACAAATTAGAAGCTGCAAATTATGCCGAAATAAATGGTATAAAAAAAGCAGCTCGAAAATTTGATGTAGATCCTAAAAGTATTCGTGAATGGCGTTTTTTAAAAAATCCCATCACAGGATTTCAGAGCGATTTCGGAATGGCTCACCATTCTATCAATTTGGATACCAAATTAAATGCTATAAAATATGCAGAAGAAAATGGTATTGAAGCAGCTGCAAAAAAATTCAATGTTAATCCTGAGGGTATTCAAAAATGGTGCAATGGACGCTATATAAAAGGCGCATTAAAACGAGTGCCACAAAACAAGAACTTAGCTCGTAAATTCCGAAAGAAAACTCTTATTAATGTCGGCAGGAATTGTGTTAAAAAAGACATTGAAAATCGTTTGGTTCTTTGGATTACAGAACAGCTGAAGAACAACGTGTTAATAACCAAACCAATGATTAAAGTTAAGGCTCTTGAATTGTTAAAAAGTGAACATAAGGAATGTCAAGAAACTTTCAAAGCATCTCTTGCCTGGGTGCAAGAGTTTTTGGTAAGAAAACGACTGAATATAAGCTGTAATAATTTTTTCACAAAAAAATTCAAATTACAAGTTGTCAAATCTGCGAAGAAAAATGGCATATTAACAGCAGCAAAAGAATACAACGTCAATCCCAAGTATGTTCGTGACTGGTACAACCAATGCAATTTAAATGCTGTAAAAAAGGCAAAAACCTCAGGTGCTCCCCGTAGGATTCAGCGTGCTTTTACTTTGGATTTCAAATTAAATGCTATTAAATATGCAAAGGAGAATGGTTTGTCAGCAGCAGCAAAAGAGTATAATGTCGACCGAAAAAGTATTTTTGAGTGGTGCAAGGGACGTAAATTAAAGGATTGCTTGAAGCCAAAACAACAAGGTAAGAGTATAAAAAAGAAGAATTGTATTGATGTTAATGAAGAATCAACTTGCAATTCTCACTTTGACAAATGCACTTTTAATAAAGTGGCTGAAAATCAATTTTTATTAAATAAAAAAGATTCATTTTCTTTATCCCCTAAGGTTGTTCTGCTTGATATTTTCAAGCAAAAATCCAAAAGTAATGCTTCAATAGAAAGATCACCTTCCATGATAATGATGGAACCAAATGGAGTGAAAAGTTCCTCTGCTGAAAAGGTAACGGAACAAGACTCTGTAGATTGTTCTCCTTCTATGATAATGATAGGACCAAATTCTGAAGAAAGTTCCTTTTCAACAAAAATGATGGTACCAAACTTAGAAAAAAGTTCCTCTTCATTAGAAGTGATGGCACCAAGCTTAGTGGAAAGTTCCTCTTCATTAGAAGTGATAGAACCAGACTTAGTGGAAAATTCCTCTTCATTAGAAGTGATGGAACCTGACTTAGTGGAAAATTCCACTTCTATGATTATGACGGAAACAAATTCCATGGAAAGTTTCCCTTCTATCAAAATGATGAAACCAAATTCGGTCAAAAGTGCCTCTTCTGCAATAATGAGGCATAAAAAATCGGAAAATGTAGATAAACCAATTTCAGACTTAAAATCGGTAAAAATTGATTCGCATAAAATAGTTAAAGCTTCAAAGAGAAAAATCTCTACAGAAAATGTGAACTTAAAAAAAAAGAAATTATTTAACTGTGTATCATCAAGCAATTCTCATCTTAACAGTTGCACTGTTGCAAATGAAAATCAATTGACTATAAATACAAAAAAATCATTTTCTTTGTGCCCAAGCGTTATTCTTTTAGATATTTTCCAAAACAGCACCTGGTTAGAAAGTTCTCCTATGATAATGATGGAACCAAATCCTGTTGAAAATTTGTCTTCCATAAAAATAGGGGAACTAAACTCAGCTAAAAGCTCTATAAAAGTGATAGAGCTAGAGTCGGAGAAAAGTTCCTCTTCTTCGATAATGATGCAATCAAAATCTGCAGAAAGTTCCCTTGCTATTATAATGAAAGAACCAAATTCTGTAGAAAGTTCCCATTCTATAAAAATAATAGAACCTAACTTAGTTGAAAGTTCCCTTTCTACAGTAAGGATAGAACAAGACTCTGTGGAAGATTCCTCTTCTACAATAATGATGGAACCACACTCCGTGAAAAATTCCCCTTCCATAAAAATGATGGAAGAAGACTCGGTAGAAAGTTCTCTGTCTGTGACGATGACAAAATCTATGGAAAGTTCCCTTTCCATTATGATGGAGCCAAATTCTGTAGAAAATCTCCCTTCTGTGATAATGATGGAACCAAACTCTGCAGAAAGTTTCCCTTCTACAAAAATGATGGAACCAAACCGAAACAAAAGTCTCCCTTCAATAAAAATGAGGCATCGAAAGTCAAGAAAAGTAAATAAACCAACATCAGATTTAAAATCGGTAAAAATTGATTTGCATAAATCTGTCCAAGATTTAACTAAAAAAGTTTTCAAGAGGGATATGAAATTTAAAAAAAAGAAATTAATCAGTCATGCATACAATTCTCAATTTAACTGCAAGCCTTCAAATGAAGAAAATGAAAATCAATTATCAATAAAAATAAAAGATTCATTTTCTTTATACCCAAAAGTGACTCTGTTAGATATTTTCAAACAAAATTTCAGAAGTAGCACATCAGCAGACAGTTCCTCTTCTTTAATAATCATGGAACAAGACTCATTGGAAAATTTTCCTTCTAGAATAATGATGGAATCAAATTCTTTTGAAAGTTTCCCTTGTATAGAAAAAAACCCTGTGGAAGGAACCTCTTCTGTAATAATCACAGAACAAAAAGCAGAAACAGTAAATAATGAAATGCTAGCAACTTCAGACTTAAAATTCACAAAAAATAATATGCATAAAACTGTCAAAGTTGTGAAAAGAAATGTTTCTACGGGGAATAAGAAATTTAAAAAAAAGAAATTGGTTAATCATGTATCATCGTACAATTCTCACTCTAATACTTGCCCTTCAAATGTAGTAAATGAAGATGAAATATCAATAAAAATAGAAGAGTCATTTTCTCTAAATTCACAATCAACTTCAGCAGAAGAATCTTTCTATGAGATTGAATCGCCATTGGAAAATATATCTTGTACAGAAAGTGAGAGAGATGGTCATACTAATCAATCTGTGCATCCCTTAACAGTTCAAGGATTAATTGCATCCATAGCATTTCAAACATTTTTTAATGGAAAACCCACTTAAGAAATTTAGATTTCAGTTGGCTATCAAAATTTATGTTAGCTATGCGATGCAACTACAAATGTAATTTATAGTTTTTTTTTCATTATTCTTTATTGTTTGTGAAATAAATATTTTGTCCAACTATTTCATAAAATATATAATATCTTTAAAAAGAATTATATGACATAATAGTTGGGTTTTTTTTATCATACAGTTAGACTGATCAAATTGCCAAATATATTGAATCTTTACCTTTTTACAGATGTTATCTTTTCACTCTCGTTGCCCTTTTAAGATTGTTTGATCCTTTTTTTTTTTTACTTATTGGTATTAAGTGTAGTTCAAATAAATTAAATTATATTTACTCTGTGATTTCTGAAGTACATGGGTGCAAGTCTTCCGTCCCCAGGACGGATTTCCGTCTTTCGAAAATGTCCGCGGACGGAAGTAAGTCGGAAACAAGACTGGCTCGAAGACGAAAATCAGATTTTTTTTTTTTCTGTCCTTACAAATATTTTTTAGATTTACGTTATTGGTCTACTTTCTTATGTCCTGTTGTTATTTTATCAAAAGACAGATGAATAAATATTTTTTGTACAGTATTTAAACTTGATGTATTATGGTAAAGCTTTCTTAGACAGTTT